GAATTCTGATTCGCCGGGGTCTGACCCCAAAGCCCCATCACTGTGCCCCTCCCTCTGTGTCCTCCTTAGGGCTCTTATTCCCACCTCACCTCTCAGGTATTTCAGAACCGGATGTCTCATGATAATTTGTTGAGCAGCGAGGGAGGTCTTCCTGTGTTCCTTATGCTCACAGACATGCCCCGGAGTGTGTTTTCTGGTGGAGTATTTTTCAAAGATTGAGCTTTGGACTGTCTACATCAGATCAAATGTAGATTTCTGGGTCCCAGTACGGGGTCTACTGAATCAGACTCTCTGGATAGGAGGTCCAGGAATCTGCGTTTCCAACAAAACCCCTGGGAGAGTCTGATTCTTGCTAAAATTTGAGGCTGCGGGTCCTGGGATTATGTATGAGCCCAGGCAGAACCATTTGTCATATGCATTATACGCATATGAGTTCTCTACAAATTAAATTCTCTGGTGGTTTATATCCCTGTGGTTTGAATTCTCTGGAGTTAAAGACAAAGCTACCATCAAAGGCACTTCTGTATTCACTGCACCTGAAAGCTCGCTTTGGGGGGCAGCTCTGCATTGTCCTTGAAGCGCTGGCTGAAAGCTTTCCTGTATCCATGATGTGTAAGGTTCTCTCTGGGATGAGGTCCCGCTGTTAAGTCAGGTATATGCTTTGAGGCGCTTGTTTTTCTTCAATAAGATCTTCATAGTTAGGGCTCTGGAGTTCAAAGGGGCCAGTAGGCAGAGGCCCACTGAGCAGGAACTTCAGCTTCATAATTTCAGTCTCCCACCCACCCAGTGAAGGGACCCGCCCCCAGATCAGCAGCCCCGGTGAAGTCATAGCCCAGAGCCCTCAGCAGGAGGGCTTTGAGGAGCTGCCCACCCACTCCCAACCCTGGCCTGGCCTCTGCCGTTCTGAGCCAAAGTCTTCTGCTGGAAGATTCAGGGGCAGGGGGAAAAGCTTTGAAGTCAGACAGACCTGGGCTCAAGGCCCAGGCTTACTGCTTACTGGCTGAGGAACCTCACTTCTCCAAGCCTCTGTTTCCTCCCCTGTAGATAGCAGCACAATGTACCTCTTGTGCGGCGTATGAGGACCAAATGAGATGATGCACAAGCCCTGCCCAGCACACTGTAACTGCTCCGTTCCGGGGAAGTGTTCTTGCCCGTTCACTGCCTGCAAGCTGAGCTTTCCCCCATGGCTCACTCTCCCTCTGCCATGCTGCCAGCCAGCTCCTTGCAGGCTGCAGAAACCACCACCAGCACTGGGCAGCCCCTCATGCCCCATCTGCTCCACGCACATCACTCAGCTCCCTCCCTCTCCTTTGCACTGTTCGGACTTTTGTGATCACATCTCAGCTAAACAAAAAACACTTAGAAGTCAAGGTCCCATGTTAGGAACCCCATCAAAGACCAAGGGGGGAAACACAAAGGTGTTACAAAGCTTGTATACTATAGCTCATGTTTTTAAATGCAGAGAAGTCACTCACCACCTAGAAACAATTATGACACCCCTTAAATTAGAAGCAGAAGAGTTTTAGAAGCAGGAATGCTGCCACACGTGGCACTTGCTGATAGCAGCAAGAAGAAATCTTTGGAACCTCACAACAAAGAGAAAGAGAGGACAAAAAAGGAAGGGAGAGGCAGGGAGAGAAAAAGCGAGAGGCCGAGGGGACAACTGATAGGAAAGTTATTTATCAGTTAAAAGGAATAAAATACTGATTCATATTATGACATAGATGAACCTCGAAAACTCTATGCTACCTGAAAGGAACCAGTCACAGAAGGCCACACAGTATTGTTTTTCTTTAACTTAATATGAAATGGTCAGAATAGACAGATCCCTATAGACAATAAATAGATTAGCAGCTGCTTAGGGCTGAGGATGAGATGGGGAGTTGGGGCTAATGCAATTGTTTTAAAGTTGATTATGGTGATGGTCTCACAACTCTGTGAATATAATAAGAATGTACACCAATGAATGTACACTATAAAAAAAAATCCGAAAAGTTTAGCAATCTGAGGTCATTCATTGAAAGCAGTAATTCTCAGAAATGTGTGGTTGAGAATGGAGGATGCGTAGGAAGTCCCCAAAATGCTTTCAGAGCGTCCAGAAGGTAGAAAGTATGTAGCACAAGACCATTTATGGCTCCACAGTCTCACTCCCTCACTGGTGTACAGTGGAGTTTTCCCAGAGGCTACATGACCTGTGATGACGTGTAGCTCTGAAGGCTAATGGGATGTGTGCCTGTGTGTTCTTGTGTTTTAAATTTTTCTCAGGCTTAATTCTTAATACAGTCACTATTAGTAGATGTATCCCATATAAAACAAAAGCTCGTTGGGGTCCTCAATAATTTTTAAAAGCGTAAAGGAGCCCTGAGGCCAAAGTTTCAGGACCGCTGGTGGAGGGATAAACAGCCACGGGCACCCCACAGCCTTGACATTCCTGCGTGACACAGAGCACTGTCAGGAAGTTTCTAGTATGAACCATGACTGCAGGCCACAAGAAAGGCCCCGTGGCACCCTGCAGTGCCTGCCTTGTAGCATTTAGCATGGCCTCCCTTGTGAGTAATTACCCGTGTGTGTTTGGGGGGAAGGGGGGAATGCCCATTGGAATGGTATTTTATTCATTTTCTAATTCCTCCAAGTGGCACATAATTAGTGCCCAGTAAGTATTTTGGAATTGAGTTAACTGACTTTTGATGTGTCTGTTGAGGGTGCCAGAGAGGTGTGTGATTCCATTTGAAAACATTTCCTTCGCAACAGCTAAAACTTGGCTAAAATGATTTTAAATGATTTCCTACTTCAAAAAGGGACCCCTACACACACCCAATCCAGAAGCCTCCACCACGTGGCATTGCAAGGGTTCAGGCCCTAGAGGTAGCAGGGCCTCCAGCCCCATTCACCTGGACTCCGAGGTGAGCGGTGCCCCCTCAGTTGTGTAACTCAGCAGCTCCAGGAATCACACAAACCAGCAATCAACTTGTGCAACCACCTCATAGCTTCTGTATCTTCTAGAACACAGGAATTCCCAATAGGACCTACTCACAGATGTGCTGTGGGGATTAGATGTGACATTGCAAAGAAAGCCCCTCCCTCGGTGCCCCGAGGTAGAGAGAGCTCAGGAAGTGGTAGCCGTCAGTATCACCCTTGAGCTCATGTCCAACAAATTTGAGGTGATGATGGAATGCCACAGAGAGACCGCGATGTCACATTTTTCCAACAAGTACCACTACACCTAAGATTTCTATTTTTAAAAAAGTCCTGTGTGGTCATCTGTTTATTCCCTCTCTCATCAAACCCACATAGAGCACCCACACTGAGCAGGGCCCCAGGCTAGATGCGAAGGAAGCTAAGCTTCACATGCAGTCGACACCTTCTAGAGCCTCACAGCCTGCTGAGGGGGACAGACGCTCACAGAGATCCACACAGCACAGACCAGCGCGGTAGACACTGTAATGACAGTAACATAGGCTGACCTGGGGTGAGCCTTTACTATGTATGGGGCAAGGCGCTTTTTGTGCATGGCATAATTTATCTTCACAACAACCCTAAGAGGCAGGGACTGTTATTCCCCTCTGTTACAGAGGAGGAAGCTGAGTCGCAGGCTAAGTAACTTGCCAAAGGTCCCACAGCTAGCGAATGATGGAGCCTGCACTTGAACCCAGGTGGTCTGGCTCCAGGGCCGGTTGTCTTACGCGTGATGTTCTAGCCCCTCCAGACCCTGTAGCTACAAGTGAGAGTCTCACCGTTTCCTCAGGGGGGCCCAGGGTGGGGAGAGGCACATGGCACTGAGAGTCAAGACACTGGAGCTGACACCCTGGCTCTTCTACTTGCCTCTGTGGAACTTCAAGCAAGTTACTGATCTTCTCTGAGCCTTAGTTTCTTCATCTAAAAAGTAGGGGTGATCGTGGGACCTAACTCGAAACTTGTTGGTAGGACTGTATAAAATACTGCAAGGCAATGTGCTATGGTTAAAGGAACACAGGGAGCCGGGTCCAGCCAAGGCTCTGCTTGCTGTGTGACCCTGGAGAAGTTATTTAACCACTCTGAGCCATAGTTTCATTCTTGAGGTAATGGAGATGATAAAATGCTTGATATGAGATTTAAATAAGACTATAAGTAGGAAAGGGCTTAACACAACTCACAATAACTGCTCAGCACGGGTTAGCTTTTATTATTATGCACAGCAGGTAAATACTGCTACTGCTGTAATGAGGCTGGTCTTCAGCTCTAAGGCAAACCAAGTCCCTGTTACTGTTTGGGACAGGGACACATCGATGACATCATGGTCTTAGTATGCTTGTCTTTAAAGGATTCTGTGCTCTAGGATTTTGCGACCTCAGTGGGGTGTCAAACAGCAGCAGCAGCTGAGAGCTTGTCAGAAATGCAGACTCTCAGGTCCCACCCCAGACTCCTGAGTCAGAATCTGCACTTTGACAAAGTCCCCAGCTAATTGCTATTTACACTCGAGTTTGAAAAACAGTGGGAAGAAAGAATGGTGATGCTAGTTTTTGGCCTGGGGTGGGAAGGGTTAATGTTTAGTTTGGCTCCCACCAAGGCACCGGAAACAGAAGGTTCCAGAGATTGAAGTGACAGGAAGGCTCCCATCCTGCCTGTGTCCTGGATGGTCTGGGGCTTCAGCCTGGGACTTGCACTGAGCCTGGAGCTGCAGTGAGGAAGGACCCCTGGGCCTGCAAAGCAGAGGGCACAATGGGACAAGGAGGCCTTGGGGCCTCTGCTCAGGTTACCTGGGCTCAGAGTGGCCAGGGTGAGCCTGGGAGGGTCAGTGCTCAGGCCAAGGCTATATGAGCTCTGAGGCAGAGCGGGAAGGCCCAGAGGAATGTCACGGCTAAGCGAGCAGGGCTCTCCCAAGGGAGGCTGGGAAGCCAGCACTGGGACAGCTGTGTGAGGGCCTCTGAGGTCTCCCTCTGGTCCCTGCTCCCCTGGCCTCTGCTGGGTGGGGGCAGGGCCAGGATCCTGGAAGCAGAGCCATGACGGTGCTTCCTCCTCAGTGCTGGAGCAGCTGCTCCCCGAGCTCACGGGGCTGCTCAGCCTCCTGGACCATGAGTACCTCAGCGACACCACCCTGGAGAAGAAGATGGCCGTGGCTTCCATCCTGCAGAGCCTGCAGCCCCTCCCAGGTCAGCCATCAGCACTTTACCTGGAGCCCCTCAAGAACCTTCCGTAACTCCCCAGCCTGCGGGCAGGAGGAAGCTAAGCCTCAGAGCATGGCATTTAGCACTTTGCATGGTCCAGCCGGTGTCCTCATCCCCTTAGGCCCTTCTCCACCACAACCCTGGCTATGCTGTATGCACGCCTCCATCCTCAGCCCACTAACACACACACACACACACACACACACACGCGATGCACATGCCACACACCACACTCAACGCACACAACACGTCCTCACATGCATAGCACTTCCTTCCATAACAAATATACACTACATGACACACAACACACAGCATGCTCCTCACCAACAGCACGCACTCACACACACAGCACATGACACACATCTCATCTCACACCCCACTCTCACATAACGCACACTCACATACACATCATATACACATAGCATGCACACACACACAAAACACTCACACGCAGTCTGACATACATCAGATAGACACACAGCACATACACACACACTCCTTTACACAGATGCGTGCACGTGCGCACACACACCTTGGCGAGTTGCACACCCACCCCACATTGTTACTCACGCCCCTCCCTCTACTTCCTACAGCTTCTCTGCCTCATTGTCTGCCCAGCAGCAAAGCCTCCTCATCTGCTCCAGCCTTTTCTCTACACCCTAAGTCAACCCACGAAATGCTATGTGTAAATCAAGAGCTCAGTGAGCTCTAGAGAGCTGTGTCCGTGTCCCACTCTATTGGAGGGGTCTGAGCGCTGTGGTGGGAAGTCCTACTGGGTGCCTCTCTGAGCCTCACTTCCAGTGACAGATCAGGTTAATGTCTTCGGCTGCCCTCACAGGACAGTGCAGGGGGGATGAAAGGGGCAGCGGTTTGCAGACCGCTTACCCAAGGCCATCTCCTGGCTTTCTCCAGGGCATCTCTGTATTGCTTTCTCTACTGGGCTCTGGGCATCCTTTCACTTAAAGAAGGAGAGCCGCAGTAATGATGTAAACATGAACACAAAGCTGGAAAACCAGGGTAGTCGTTTCAGTTGTGCACGTGCTCTGCAAACAGTGTGTGCCTGTCCAGTGGGAGATGGATGTCTGCGTGGGGGTGGGGGAGACCTGGCCCCTCCTCAGTCAGCAGGTCTCCTCCGTCCTCACAGCAAAAGAAGTGTCCTACCTGTATGTGAACACAGCCGACCTCCACTCTGGGCCCAGCTTTGTGGAGTCCCTCTTTGAAGAATTTGGTAAGTGACCCTCTCCCAACCTCAGTCTGTGGAAGGGAATTACCTGCACCGGGAACCGGCTCCAACAGTACAACATGGAGTCATTTTAGGCAAGTCCCTGGGTCTCTCTGGGCCCTGCCAGGCCTGAAAGTCTAGTCAAAATCTCTACAGTTATGGGAAAATGATCCCCAAGATTTGAGGAGAGGGAGGCATGAATGCGCAGGCCAAAGAAGGTATGGACATAGGTCGCTGCGTTGCCTGCTCCTCGCATCCATGAGTGGTGGCACCAGGGACCCTGGGTTGAGCAGTCCAGCAGCTCAGCAGAATATGGAGCTGTGGTGGACTAGCGGTGGCACCACAGCTGTGGGAGCAGCTGGGCTGGGCTGCGTGCAGGGTGTGTGCAATGCCTGCTCTGCCTCCAGGGAAGGCAGCACTACTGCACACGGGGGAAAGCTGCGGGTCAGGAGAGAGAGGGGTAGGAGCTGACAGACTTGGGGGAGACACTGCACTCTCGTAACATAACCCTGAAAATTTCCAAAGCACTGGACCCACCATTATCTCGTTGCATCCTCTCGATAGCCCTGGGGGATAGACAAGGCCAGTTCACAGATGAAAAGACGGAGCCTGAGAGAGATGAAGTCATTTGCTCAGGGTTACTAACGGGGGAGGCGGTGGAGGCCTTCTGACCCCAAATCCAGCCCTCTTCCCGCTCTGCCGTGCTCATCCTCGGCTTTCTCCGCCCAATGGCCTGACGCCCCATAGACTGTGACCTGAGCGAACTTCGGGACATGCCAGAGGACGATGGGGATCCCGGCAAAGGAGCCAGCCCTGAGCCAGCCAAGAGCCCGTCTCCGAAACATGTGAGTCATGGCCTGGGTTCCTACATCCTCAGGCTCTCTGTCCCTCTGGAAGGGGCAAGGGAAGCGCTCCCCCCGATGCAGGGGATACTCCTGGCTGTGCAGGGCCCTTTCTCTCTTCTATGGGGTGGTAAAGGGCAGAGACAACACCACAAGAACATTTCAGTGACTCATCTCACTGTGCCCATGCTGAGCAGGGCTAATGTGGTGAACTGACCTGTCCCTGCAGGCTCAAAGGATGTCCCCACCCAAACTTCTGACTGCAATAATACAGGAGGAGTGATGAGGAAGACTCTGGGCCAGAAGTTGGGTGGCCTCTGCTCTCCTCCCTGCTGCTGTGTGGCCTTAGGAAAATCACTTCCCCTCTCTGAGCCTGAGTTTTTCACCTATAAAATGAAGGTTTGGATCATACGAGTATCTAGGGTTCCCAGGCTTGGGGCCGTGGAGTCAGGGCAAGGGACCCATAATCACATCAAGCATTTTCTGTTGACTATGTAATTCACTGTCCACATCACCATTGACACAGTACTAACTGCTGACCACTTGTTATGTCCTTTACATGCTCATAGCAGCTGAGTGAGGTTGGTAGAATTGTTATCCCCATTTAACAGGTAAGGAAACTAAGGCTCAGAGAGAGTAAGTGACATGTCAGTGTCCCACAACTAGCAAGTGACAGAGCTTAGCTGTAAAGCCAGGATTCCTAGCCTGAGAGTCTCAGCTCGTAGCCACAAGGTGATACTGCCTCACTAAATAATATGTCTCAGTCACTCATCCTGCTGTTCCTCACATGTTGGTAGATGTAGTGCAGACTACCGCAGGATTCATGGTAGCTTTGATGATTCTGCATGTGCTCAAGTGTATAACCACGTCTGTGTGGCAGTCCACAAAAGCAGACATCACAGAGGAGCCCTGATGCTTAAACAATTTGAATAAGAAATTTAGGACGAAATCGACTCTCAAGGTTTCCCACTCTGCCCTCTGCAAGTTTGTTAAAGCTATGGCTTCCCATTCAGAGACTGCCTTCTGGGAGCTCTTGCCTCGCTCTGCCCAGCCCCGTGGCCTTCTCAGTCTCACACAGCTCCTTCGTCCCCCTCCAGGCAGCCGACCTGCCCCCACCGCTCCCCAACAGGCCTCCACCGGAAGACTACTATGAGGAGGCCCTTCCCCTGGGGCCAGGCAAGGCCCCGGAGTACATCAGCTCCCACAGTAAGTTCTGGTCCCCCTGGGAGTCGGGGACAAGGGGGAGGAGGCTTCTCTCCTGACGCTCCGAGCTTGGCACCCACCCAGCCATGCCAGCCTCCTGGGGAGGAGCCGCCTGAGCACCTGGCCTCTTTAGTGACAGCCTGGGTGGGCCAGCGGGTGCGGTGGCCCTGGGGCTCAGGGACTTGGGTTCTAGTCCCAGTTCTGTGTGGCCCTGGACAATCCCCTTCCCCCCTCTGGGCTTCTGCTCCCCTACCCTTAAGATAAGAAAGGGGGCTAGACACACACTCGTAAATACGCTAGGATGGAGGCACACAGGTGACCGTACAGCACAGCTCCCAGCGTTGAAGCTGCCTCTAACCTAAGTGCTCCCTCTTCAGTGGGCTGGTGAAATCATTTGTGTTTCAGTAAAATCACATCTCACAGGTGGATTAGGCTATAAAGTCAAGGTGTCTGATACAAAAGCACGTGGTCAAAATCAGGTGGTCTTCAGAGTAGAGTGGGCACCCCAGGGGATTTGTGAGATGATGGTAGAAGCATTAGAAGCTTTATGTATATTTAGTTCAACACATCTTTTTAAAATTTCTGTGAATGTTTTATAGTATTCATAATCTAATAATAGCATACTGCTTGTAATTCGTTTATATACAATTGTATATGTACATCTATGTATACATAATATGTAATAATTATTTACATATAGAATGTATCCATTAAATAAATATATTTCATGATTATATTTTTACTGATAGGTGAGATAAAATAATTTAGAGGGCACTGGCACAAATTACCTTTGACAAATGTCTTAAATTGGCCACCAAGGAGAGTGTTTGATTTTGACCGTCTCATAATCAGTTTCCTCCAGTGATGCAACAGGCGGCTGTTCCTCTGAGGATCAGTTAAGTCACTGGCTTGGGTGTAGGGACTTAACATTCCCTACAAGAAACTATACGACGGTTTTTGGATGACCCAACATGGTAGCTGAACTTGTGTAAGGTAACGTTTGTGTACTGCTATCCTATCATTCGGCAACACAGTGGAATATTTTCCAGCCACAAAAAAATAAATAAATAAAATAGGCCTGTCTGTACTGATCAGAAGTGAATTCCAAGGTACATTCGTTGAAAAAAAATCAAACACAGAATACTGCATAGCATGACTCCACTTGTTTTTTAACAGGATACACACACGCACGTGCATTCATTTTTTAACAAGTTTTCTAGGGTACTAGAAACACTTACCACTACTTCCTCGTGGGAGAGGAATAGCAATCTGGGTGAAGGGAACTGCATTCCCGTTTGTACGCTTTTGTGCTGATTGTGTTTTCCACCATGGGCATATATATTTTTATTGTAGTGAAATACATGGAACATAAAATTAAGTATTTCAACCATTTTCAAGTATCTAATCGGTGGCATTTAGATCATGCACAGTGTTGTGCAGCCATCGCCACTGTCTAGTTCCCAGGCATGCCCCTCACCCCGGCAGGACACCCCAGACCAGTAAGCAGTCACTTCCTATTCCCCTCTCCCCAGGCACCTGCCAATCATCAGCCTGCGTTCTGTCTCTATGAATTTGCCTTTTCTGAACATTTCATATAATAGAGGCGTACAATATGTAGCCTTTTGCACTTGACCTTAGCCAAAAGCTGAGATGTGGGAACATGTGGCCTTTTGATTCAGGCTTATGTCACTTAGCATCATGTTTTCAAGGCTCGTTCATGTCACTGCATGTATCAGACTTCTTTCCTTTTTATGGCCAAATCATATTCCATTGTATGGATATACCGCCTTTTGTTTACCCATTCATCATTCGATGGACATTTGGGTAGTTTCCACCTTTGGGATAGTGTGGTGTATTATTATTATGATTACTAAACAAGTTAAAACAGAGTGAACTAGTGGGGCTGGACCACTAGATCAGTGGCTGTCTTCAGCCTTGATAGTCTTGGGATCGAATGTCACTGAAAGCAGCTTTTTGTATGTGGAGCAGGTGACTTTATTTTATCCACTTGAGGACAGTGGAGGAAGGAGGGGATAAAGTGCTGCTGGGCCCTGAACCCCAAGTCAAGACCCTCAGCTGGATGAGGCTCCTCCCCGAGCCCACTCCCCTTTTGGCTGGAGCAGAGAAGCTGCCTCCGGGAGCAGCAGGGGTCCTGGGCAGGAGGGAAGGGAGGGCCTCAGGAAGGGCCAGGGGTCTTGCCCAGGGAGAGAGTGCCAAGCCCATCAGGGAGCATCCTTCCTCTGCACACAGAGTCCAGCCCTGCCAAATGTCAGAGCACTGTGCCCCGGGTGCAAAGTCACACCTCCCCCTCCCCCACTCCTACCTCTGGCCCTGACTCCCCCAGTCCACCTCACCTGGCATGTCACCAGCACCTGAGGCCTCAGAGTGCCTGCTGGGAAAGGCTGGCTCTGAGTGAGCCTCACTTGGGAGATAGACCTGGATGTCCCAGTCGCTGAGAATTTCGGCGCTGCCATCCTCCGGAAACAGATGGACAATAGGGGCTGGAAGCCCAGAGCAGTGCTCTGAAGAACAGCGTGATGTGAGAGCAAGTTGGGCTGCGTGAAGGAAGGCTTCCTGGAGGTGGGGATGCGTCTCTATCTGCTAAGCTGGCAACCTCAGTTCTCACCCAGGCTCTGTCACTAGCAAATTGTACCTGGCCTCCGTTTTCCCATCTGTAAAATGAGGCTGATACCTACATCCCTGTATTATGGAAATCGAAGGAGACAATAATAATAATGATAGTTGGCATTTTTCTAGCACATTCTGCGTCATGCACTGTGCTGAGAGTTTATACGCATTATCTCACTAACCCAAGGTAGGAACCATTCATGTCACTTTAGGACGAAGGATCTGAAACTCAGAGAAACTGTTTTCTTTCCAAGGTCACTCAGCAAATGGTGGAGATAGATTTGAACCCAAATCTGATCAACCCCAAAGCACACACCCTTAGCCACTGAAATTCAGAATATGCTTCAGAGACCATCGACATCAACATAACCTTAACTATTAAAAAAAAATCCGATTCCTTGGAATTCAATTTATTTTCTATTTTTACATATGTTTTCAAATGTCCTACTAAATAGTTGGGGGGTTTTAGTGCACATTCCTCAGCCCAGCCCACACCAGTGAATCAGAATCTCTGGGGATACAGCCCAGGGATCTGCATTTTAAAAAGACCCTCCGTAATTCTGATGCAGGATAAAATCTGAGATACCCCAACCCCTGTACTGTGCTGCCCTCCCAGCCCCGAATGGGAATGTGTTGTGGAAATTCAGCATAGGCAGCCAGCTGTCGTGTTCACTTTTCTTTGCGTTATTATTACCTCCTCTAGTCTATTTCCTCCTTTGTAGTTTCAGAGGCTTAGGAGAAACACTTTGACACACAGAGGGAGCCGTATTAGGAATAAGCAGAAGGGATGACGTAGCAGAAAATGAGGCCAAGGCAGCGCAGGGAGGGGCTCTGGACCCAGGTGCTGGGACACCACTCTGTGCAGTACAGGGACCAAGCGGTGACCAAGACACACATCCACACACACCAATGCTCTGGGGACACTGAGGAGGGGCTGACCTCTCTCTGCCTGGGAAGGTTGGAGGAAAGATCTTTGAGCTGGGTCTCGAAGGGTGAGTAGGAGTTCGCTGGGAGAAAATAAGACAGCACAAGGAACAGCATGAACAAAGCCTGGAGGTGTGACAGGGCTCATCAGGGCAGTTCCTGGTTGACAGGAGCACAGAGGCATGTGGGATGCGAGCTATAGCAGAAGAGATGTAGAGAGGAGACCCCACACCCTGACCAAGGGGCTGCAGGGAGTGTCACTCTCTCTTCCCTGAGGAGGGGCACGGTATCCAGGGTCTTCCCCATCCCTGGCCCCTGGAATCTGCCTGCATTTCTCTAGAGCGCGGCTCTTTCTGCCCAACCCACAGATGGCTGCAGCCCAGCGCACTCCATTATGGACGGCTACTATGAGGACGCAGATAGCAGCTACCCTGCAACCAGGATGAACGGGGAGCTGAAGAACTCCTGTAAGTGCGTGGTGGGACTTCAGTCAGGCTCTGTCCTCGACAAGCAGGCCTTGGCCTGACCCTTGGCATGCACGTGCCCACCACCCCCTCACCCCCGTAGGTCACCATGGAGGCCCTGAAGCCCTAGTTTGCAGTGACCCTGGGGTTCAGTGGAAAGACCACTGGCACAGGAGTCAGGAGTTCCCGGCAGAGCCCTTGCCCTGACTCCTGGTGACTGACCTTAGACGAGTTGTTTATTCTCACCAAGCCTCATTTCCTTATGTATAAAATGGGGATTTGCTGGAGTGCTGTGACAGTGACCTGAGACAATGGATGTAAACATGATGGGATGGTGACAATCGCTGATGTTTACTGAACACTCACTGAATGCCAGACACTTGGCTAAACACTGCATTCACTGATCCTCACAACAGCCCGATTCGGTAGCTACTATGATTCATTACAACCATTTTCCAGATGAGGAAACTGGAGCTCAGAGAAGTGAAGTCACCAAGGTCGCAAAGCTAGTGGTAAATCTGTAAAACACAGCCCCCATGGGGGGCGGGGTTCGTCACTGCCATGATCACACCTCACACCCACCCCTTCATGGCCCCGGGACCCCAGAGCAGGGAGGCCTGCAGAGGGGTAAGAAGGTGCCTCCCGGGTAACGGCACAGTGGCAGGTCCTTTCCCATGGCGCCTGCAGACAATGACTCTGACGCGATGAGCAGCTCCTATGAGTCCTACGACGAGGAGGAGGAGGAAGGGAAGGGGCTGCAGCCCACACACCACTGGCCCTCAGAGGAGGCCTCCATGCACCTGGTGAGGGACTGCAGGATATGTGCCTTCCTGCTGCGGAAAAAGCGCTTCGGGCAGTGGGCCAAGCAGCTGACCGTCGTCAAGGAGGACCAGCTCCTGGTGAGTGCGTGCGGTCGTGTTCCTCTTGGCCTCATGTGGACTTGTGCGCGTGTGTGTGTAAGTCTGTGTGTGTGTGTGTGTGTGTGCGCGCACGGGCCCATCTGCATCAGTTCCTCTGGGCTCGCTTTGTGCACAGAGGCTCAAGGCCTGCTGCTTTGAAGATCGGCGCTCTCCCACAAGAGCATAATTTTTTTAAAAACTTGAAGACCTGATACTTGACCAAGTTTTTGTTTTGCCAGAGACAAATCTGTCGCTTCAAAACAATGTTTGTTGTTTTTCATTATGCAAGTAAATGTGTTTATTTATAAAACTAGAGAAAAACAAAATGAAAAATGATTTTTAAAAACACCACTTATGATCCCACTGACCAAGAGCTAACAACTATTAAGGTTTAATAGACATACGCGTATTTCCACCCTCATTTCCATACATCTGTCTTTTCTGAAACTAAGCCCACTCAGCACTTGCTTTCTTAAAGTTTTTTTTTCCTCAATTCGCCATCTCTCATCACTATTATTTCATAAACGAAAATGTAGCCTTAATTCCAAAGTAGGAGGATGGACATAATTTCAGAAAGAAGTAAGAGCCCTTTACCCAAAAATCTGCTGACAAGCCTTGCCTAACATATATCCATTTGAGACATCGTCTTTTCTCACCCTGGAGCAGTGAAAAGCTAATCCCAGGCCAGAATGAGTCCCAGGACATGACTTACTCTTCCCACTCCTTGTGCTTCTGTTATTTGTGATTTACTGCACTGGCTAGGACCTCCAGCCCAATGTAAATAGAAGTGGTAAGAGCAGGCATCCTGTCTCAGCCCAGAACTCAAAGCAACTTTTTTAGTAATTCACCAACAAGGCTGATATTTGCTGTGGGCTGTTTGTAGATGTTCCTTATCACATTAAGGAGGTCCCCTTCTATTCCTAGTTTGCTAAGAGTTTATGTTACAAATACGAGGTGTGATCAACAAAAAGGGTGAATGTTTAAATTTTTAAAAATTATTACAGTAAAAGACACATTGCCATGAAACGCCCTCAAAATACTCCCCCTCACTTAGAGCACACTTCTCCTATCATTCTTGCCACTTTTCGATGCAGTTCTGGAAGTTCTCCTTCGTGAGTATCTTACTTCATCCTCCATCATGACAACGGTCCATGTCACACATCGCTTCTGGTACAGCAATTTCTGTCAAATAAAAACATTGCGGTGTGTCCTCATCCACCTTATGTACCGGATCTGGCACCGTGTGACTTCTGGCTCTTCCCTAAAGTCAAAATGACCATGAAAGGTAAATGTTTTGAATCGATTCAGGATATCGAGGCAGCCACAACAGCGCAACTAAAGACATTCACTAAAGAGGACTTCCAGTACTGCTTCAGAAAGTGGCAAGAACGATGGGATAAGTGTGTTCAAAGCAAGACGGAGTATTTTGAGGGGGATTAATGGGAATGTATCCTTTACTGTAATAATTTTTTTCAATTTAAACATTCACCATACTTTTGATCACACCTCGTAGGTGCAGAATTTTATCGCATACTTTTTCTGCTCCTATTAAGTGGTTTGTCTCCTTTTTTCTGTTAGTATGATGAATGACATGGTTGGTTTTGAATGCTAACCCACTCTTACATTCCTAGAATAGACACCACTTGGTCCGATGCAGTATGCTTTCTATGTCTGGATTCTATTTGTTAGTATTTTGTTTAGGGCCTTTGCAACCATTATAGGAAGAGATTAGCCAATAAATTTTCCTTTTTTGTAATGACATTGTCAGTTTCTGGTCTCACGGTAATGCTGGCTTCATAGTAAGTACTGGGAAGTGAGAAGCATTATTGATAAACTATTGACTTCCCAAGCCCAACCCTCTCTCTGCTAGAATTCCCACTCCCATACTCCATCCCAGTAGCCCATTAGTAGCAGGGAGCTGACTTCCTCTCAAGCCAGCATGTTTCTTCTCTTTAAGAGTTCTTTACACTAGAATGGTTCTCTAGACTAGAATTGTCTTCCTAGTGTTGTGCTAAACTCTACCTTTTCCTAATAGGTAGCTGTGCCCCGGAGGGCACCTCGTTAGTGCTTGAGGATGAAGGTCACTTAAAGATACCCCCTCCCAGGCTTCTCTTCTCTGGGGTGAACAGCCACGGTGCCTGTCTTCATGCAGTGCCCACAGTTGAGCTGGGTGGGAGAGGTCTCCGTGGGATGCATCGAGCTCCCCCAAGCCTTTGTGCGAGCGTGTCCCCTCCTCCACCCTCCACTCCAGGAGGCCCTGACCTCTTCTGTCCCTACCCAGTGTTACAAAAGCTCCAAGGACCGGCAGCCACATCTCAGGCTGGCACTGGATATCTGCAACGTCATCTACGTGCCCAAGGACAGCCGGCACAAGAGGCATGAGCTGCGCTTCTCCCAGGGGGCTACTGAGGTCTTGGTGCTAGCGCTGCAGAGCCGGGAGCAGGCGGAGGAGTGGCTGAAGGTACAGCGGCCTGTGCTCTCCTGCCGCCTTCCCTCCCTTACTCTACTTCCCAGGCCCGGCACTAAGTGGGGCAGGCTCCTGTCCCGGAAAGAACAGGCTTTGCTCAAGGGAGGGGGGGTCCATGCCTGTGCACGGCTAGGGCTTAGGTATGGAAATGGGCCTCGGACATCTCCAGGAGACAGGCAGACCTCAGGCTGGAGGCCTCTATCCCGCCTCGTTATTTCAATCCCCTTTCTAACATCTCTCCTGTGGGCGTGTTCAGCCTGCATTTGTACACCTCCTAGAATGGGGAGCTTAATTTCTATGAAGGAAAGCTGATTTTATCATTAGATAAGCTAATCCTTTTTTTTCTTTTTTTTTAGCTGAGCCATCCTACCTTTTTTTTCTTTTAAAAAAGGAAAAATCCTTCCTTGTAACATCCACCTGTGGTCCAACTTCTGCATCCTGAAGCTACACAGAACAGTTAGTGTTACTGTGTATTGAACGCTTACTTTATGCCATGCATTGTGCTAAGAGTTTACATATATGGCCTCATTTACTCTCCACAATGGGACTATCATTGTTCCCGTTTTACAGATGAGGAAACTGAGGCACAGAGAACATATGTGACTTGCCATAGGTCATATATGACCTTTCATTGGGACCAGGATGAGAAGCTAATAAGGAAATCTACTCCAAATGCCATAGGCAGGGCGGCATACTGATGAGGGAGGACTCTGGTGAAACAGACTTGAGTTCAAGTTCCAGGCCTAAGAGGCTGTGTGATCTGCAAGTGACTTTGCCTCTCTGTGCCTGTTTCCTCCTCTATAAAATGCATCTTGTAAGGATTCTAAAGAGCACTGGACATAGTGCCTGCCAGGCAGTAAGTGCTTAGTAACCATCAGTGATTACTGCGCAATGACTGTGGAGCCCACCCCCAGTTCCTTAGAGGGGCCCCCCAGCCCTGCACCCTGCCTCTGTTGCACTGTGACACCTTTCTCCAGCTATGATCTTCCTGCTGGAACAAAGAAACCAAGCCCCTCCCTCCCTATCCTCCCTCCCTTCCTGTGATAACCAGCTCTCTCACTGGAATGTTTAGTGTTTCTCATTACTGCCTTTGTCTCAGGAAGGGAAGGAAGGGAGAGAACCTGCCTGCTGAGGCAGCCTCTCCCCTTCAAGAGGCCCAGTGGGTCTGAGAAAGGAGCCCTAGACCCTGAGTTAAGAGGCCTGTCCTGACATCCAGTCCTGGGAGGCCATTAGCCCAGAGGTTAAGGGCAGGCAACCATGGCTCCGCCTCTTGGAAGCTCATCATCCTAATCTGTAATTTAGGGACCACAGTCATCCCTGCCCCACAAGGCTGCTGTGGGGCTACAATGAGATATTCCATGGAAGGCCACCTGACAGGTGAACCACAAATGGTGGTGGTTATTTCATGATCTGGATGCTTCTGCTGTGTGACCTTGGATGGTTGAGTAAATGCTTTGGAGCCTCAGTTTTCACATCTCTAAAATGGAGGGGATAAACTTGGCTGCCTCACAGGCTGTTGTAAAGGTCCAATACAGTCACAGAAGCGAGTTGCTCACCCTTGTGCAGGGTGTCCCTGTTCACATGGCCCCTCACACCTCTCATCTCACTGGTCCTCAGACAAATAAATCCAATAAAGTTATAACCCATGTTACAGATGGGGACATTGGGGCCCAGAGAAGGAAAGTGGCTTTTCTCAAGGCCACACAACTAATCAGCAATGGAGCCAGGTCTAGAAGCCAAGCCTCTTGGTTCCAAGCCCCACATCTTTTCAATTCAAGGGACTACAAGAGAAAGCCTTTTTAAATGCTGCTGTGCCCCATGCATGTGGCAGGAGGCCACATCAACCCATCTCTTCTGTCCAGTGGTCCTAACCCCTCTGCTCAATGGCCCTGACTGCACAGGCCCCATTCTTCCTTCTGCCTCCACAGCATCCTTGCCCACCTGCTCACACCTGTGCATTCTCTTCACAGGTCATCCGAGAGGTGAGCAAGCCCGTCATAGGGGCCGAGGGGACGGACATGCCCAGATCCCCAGTCCTCCTGTGCAAACTGGACCTGGACAAGGTACATCTGTCTCCATGAGGTCTCCCTGGCCAAGGCAGCAGGGACTCAGCACGGGCTCTGCCCTGGGGACACTCTCAGACTGGTGGTGAAGTAGGCGCCCGCAGTGGTGTCGAATAAGCCATGAGTGTCCAGCACAGAGCTGGCACAACAGTAGGTGCTCAGTAAATTTCTACTGAATGAATGAATGCCCATGTCCAAGGTGCAGTAGAAGCCAGAGGTGGGCGTCAATACCCATGCCAGGTCAAAAGTGGTCATGTTTGAATGGACCCATGAAAAGTAAATTGTATTTGTCAATCAGAAGAGGAGTGTGCCCCCCGGGACACGAGTGAAGCACTCATTTAGTAGCTAGCTGGTCAGGCCGTTGGCAAGCATATGCTAGTGCCTATGCTTTGCCTGGTGCTGTGGGTGAGACGGGGACTCAGCCCCAAACCCTAGGGGAGGCCTGAGATTCTCATACATGGGCTCTGCGCGATATAATAAAGGCGAGTGGTCACAGAATACAGCTGTGTGGCCAGTGCTGTTCTACGTGCTTCACATGTCTTACCGATTTAATTTCTACAACTCTGATGAATTACACTTTCCGATGAGGAAGCGAGGCGCAGAGAGATTTACACGAAGTCACATAGTTAATAAGAAACAGTTAGGATTTACATCAGGCAGCCTGACTCTCGATGACTTTGCAACCTTGCCTCTCAAGGGGGCATCCTGTGCGCCACTCAACAAGTCCTGAGCGAGCATCCGCGTGTGGTGCAGCAGGCGCTGCGCTGGGCCCCGGGCGCAAGGGCACAATCGTAACACAAACAGATACAACCGGTGCCCATAGTTTAGCTTCTTAAAGTGAGAGGTGTTAGAAATGACAGTCCGCTGACCGCGTAATTTCACTTGAGCTCCCTGGTGTCTCACAGCAGCCCACTGAGAAAACTATGATTCAGGAGAGAAAGCCAGGCCTTGTGGGAGATGAAAGGATTGTCCCCCGTTCCCACAGCGAGTAGGTGGCACTGGAGATGTGATTTCTCCCAGCACAGTCACAGAAGCGCGTCCCTCGCCCTTGGGCAGGGTGTCCCAGTTCCATCCGTCTACTCCGCGCCATCTCCCACAGCACCTAGTAGGCACTTAATTGACCTGCCGGGACTATTTTGAAAATACCAGCTCATCTCCTTTTCTCCATCCTCACTATCATCCTGGCTCATCTCGTCACTGAGTCTCATCTTGCCCAGGATGACACTCTCTGAAGTAGTTCTTTTCCTTTGTCTCACTCCCTCTCGCCAAGTCCTCCATGATGCCACTGGAGGAAACTGGTTGCATAACATTAGCTTCCCACTTAAAAATCTTCCCAGCTTCCTGTCACATGCTAAATGTGACCCAAACTACAAAGACATTTATCTCAACGTGTTATAATTAATTGCCTCACTCCCCAAATCGACTGTATCATGAAGACACAGCCATCCTAAGTCATCCTTGTCCCCGTCCCCCCCCCCTTCACACACACACCTGGTACATGATAGTTGCTGACAAATATTTGTTCGCTAGTCCAAGGGTCTAGTGCAAGGGTCAGGGGGAGGCTGAACCAACAAAGGGAACTTCCGAGGGTGCCCTCTGATGTGGGGCTGTCTGTGTTCCCCCCAGAGACTGTCCCAAGAGAAGCAGACCTCAGATTCCGACAGCCTGGGCATGGGCGACCACTGTTCTACCCTTGGCCGCCGGGAGACCTGTGAACATGGTAGGAGCCTCTGGGGGCTCAGGCAAAGGATGCCAGAGCTGGGACGGGCCTTGCCACAAGCACTCAGTGTAGAGCAGGTCCTGAGAGAGGTGACTGGCCCACCCACACCTGGAGCTGCAGGCCAGGCCCTGTGTGCAGGCTGCAAGGACCCCTGGGAAGGCTAGGAACGGGGGGATCTGGGACTTGGGGCTCCCTTCCCTCCCCTGACCCATCTCTGCAGCAACAGGCAAAGGGAAGAAGAGCAGCCTGGCGGAGCTGAAGGGTTCGATGAGCAGGGCTGCAGGCCGCAAGATCACCCGCATCATCAGCTTCTCCAAGAGGAAGGCGCTGGCGGATGACCTGCAAACGTCCTCCGCTGAGGAGGAGGTCCCGTGCTGTGGTGGGTACCAGGCATGCAAAGGAGGAGAATGCAGGCCCTGTTGACGCGGGCCCTCGGGGCCAAGCCAGGAGACCCTCCAGGCCCATCCACCTTGTCCCCAGGGCAGAGGAGAAAATGCTCCCACTGGCTAGCTAACCCCCATCCCATCCATGCCCTTCCATCACTTCTCTACCATGAGGCCCCCGAGGCTCAGCAGAAGGAAAAGCCAACTGACTCCCATATTTCTGTGCTTCCTGCGACCTTAACTTCAACCTTAACCCTACCTGTCTCTGGGCCTCGATTTCTTTCCCTATGATGAGAGAAGAGTATCTTATTTCCCAGCATATAACATGTCAGGTGTGTGAGTTACCACCCAGTCTTACAAGGAAATGTTTTGGATAAAAACATTTTAGTACTTTTCATTATAAATGCAAGCATTCAATGTGAGTTAAAAGTGGTTTGGAAGGGAAAACATTATTCTGTTCATTTAAATGCAGTGTTCCATGTACTGGAATTCAATAGAAAATCATATATTTTAGATATGCAGTAATACCCTAACCCTGAAAGAATATTATAAAGGCACACGGCTATCCCGAAGTATTTTGTAAGCAGTGGATCAGTTCATGTTATGGTAAAAAATAAATAAATTTAAATCTAAAATGTTAAGAGGGTACCTCACTCGTTTTATAATTCTTTATCTTGGTTAGATGTTTTTGTTACCATATGCTGCCACCAGGGGTCAGCATCATCCATTATTTTCTGTCTTTCAGTAATAGTTTTGGTATTTTAAGGGGAGGCAAGGCAAGAGAGGGAGAGTTGTGTCTTCTATTCATTCTGTATAGGAGTTCCTGCCCTTTTCATCAAGCTTGGTATGGTCCAAAGGCTGTGTGGCAATGTAGAAAGGTAATGATTATCAGTCCCATTTCATTGATAGGCAACGGCAGCCCAGAGAGAGAAGAGGAGGCCTGAGGTCACAGGCCAGGAGAGAGCTGATCCGGGACCCAGAAGGCCTTCTTTCTAGCTAGCGCTTTGTCCCTGGGGTACAGACCCATGCACCCCAACCTGCATCCCCCATCTGGGGTTTCCTCAGGGCTGGGCTGTCGGGAAATCACATCGCACTCTACCCTTCCCAGGCTATCTGAACGTGCTGGTGAACCATGGCTGGAAGGAACGCTGGTGCCGCCTGAAGTGCAACACTCTGTATTTCCACAAGGACCGCACAGACCTCAGGACCCACGTGAACGCCATCGCCCTCCGAGGCTGTGAGGTGGTCCCAGGCTTTGGGCCCAGACACCCATTCGCCTTCAGGATCCTGCGCAAGCGGCAGGAGGTTGCCATCTTGGAGGTGAGAGGAGAGAATCCAGGCTGTCCTTGGCGGTGGGAGCTGAAGGGAGCTCAGGCCTAGATGCTGGCCTTTGTCTTGGGGGCCTTGCGACTGACAATACAGGGACTGAGAAAGAAGGAAAAGTAAGCCAACTGCTGCCGAGTGATGTACGGCTGCCAGTTAACGTCCAGAGCACCCTCTTAAATTTGAATTTCAGATAAAAAGACAAATAATGTTTTTAAGACAAGTATAGCCCATGCAATATTTGGGACATACATATGCTAAAAAGTTTTTACTGTCTACCTGAAATTCGGATTTAACAGAGCATTCTGTTTTTTATTTGCTAAATCTGGCAACCCTAGAGCCAAGGTTTATTTTTTTCTCCCTTATCTTAAAACCCAAAGCCTGACAGTATCTAGTGTAATCTAACCCAGACTTGATTCTAAAATCCCCTGTAACCTTCCCACCAGTGGCCTTCACCTCAGATAAACCACTGCCCCTTCCACTGAGCACCTCACATTTTTAGAAAGGTTTTTCTCTATGTTGAGATGAAATCTTTAAACTCCATAAAGCTGGTAAGCCTGTTCTGCATACTTTTGTTTTTCCAGAACCCAGCATGACGTCCAGCACAGACTAAGGGCTCAATGAACAGTTGTTGGACAAATGGCTGAATGAATATGTGATTTTATTTTAACTATTCGTTGTCGGCCCTACCCAGTGGCACAAGCCATCCTCTCTGAGGTCATTCAGAGTACCTGAATCTCCTTTCTACATGTCAATCCCTCGGCTATTTAGACTTTACAATGTGAACACTAGCGGGAAACATAAATAACGACCCCCTCACATTACAGACAGGAAACCGAGGCCAGGGCAGTCGAGCGCTTTGTTCAAAGCCCCACAGAGGGTCAGTGGCCGCTTGGTCTTACCCTGAAACTAAACCTCAGCCTCTTGGTCTGGTTTTCTGTGCCCAGTACCCACTGCCTCTCTCAGTTTACATTTCAAGAAATATTAACCTCAGTAACTCACTTTTATTTTTGATAGTTTGAGATGGGTCCATTACTTCTGTTCAATTATACACAGAGCCTTCTGGGGGAAAGTATCCTGCCTTTATTCAAGTTTAGCATTTGCAGGCTAGGTTGATTTTTATCATAATGCTCTTTAAATGAGGACCAACGTAAGCATGTTTAGTTGACCAACAACTTCTTGGAGTTTTTCCTACAAACAATACTATAAATAATTGGCGAGGATAATATAAAAAAACATTGAGTTATGTGAGAAATAGCCTCTTCTAATAAAAAGTAAGTATTTTTAAGGAATATTCAGGGAACACCCAAATGTTTTCACATCTGAAGTTCAGGAAGGCTCTGAGGATAGTGAGCAGAGACCTGACTATAGGGGAAAGTGGGAGCCACTTGGATTTCTGGATGTGTATTCTTGTTCCTCTTGGACCCCTAAGTGTTGGGTACATAACAGGCGCTATATGAATATGGGTTTGGCCGAAGTAGGCAGGGAGCCAGAGGCCCCGACGGTGCCAAAGTGAACTGGCTTGTGCCTCCTCTCCCTCAGGCAAGCTGCTCAGAGGACATGGGCCGCTGGCTTGGGCTGCTGTTGGTGGAGATGGGCTCCAAAGTCACCCCCGAGGCGCTGCACTATGACTACGTGGACGTGGAGACCTTAACCAGCATCATCAGTGCGGGGCGCAACTCCTTCCTGTAAGAGTCAGCGCCCCACAGCCCTCCGCTACTCAGGGCTTTCCTGTCTCAGCTTCCTCTCAGAGTCTCTGAGACCAGCCTCCGGCACTAGGAGGGAAGGGAGGAAGGACTGCGGAGGCTTCTACTCCTTCGGGAAGTCAGAGTGCGTGGCTTCCTCCTCCAGCAGGCAGGCGTGAGCTGTCTACAGGAGGTAGCCCAGACCAGGGTCAGGGGAAGCTGTGGACGAAATGCACAAAAGTGGAAAAGCCCTTTTGCTCAGTGCCCTGGGGTTTGCTCTCATGCCGCGGAACCTTCGGTTCTCACACACTTGAGCATCTGGGCAAACACAGGGCTGGTATGTGGAGTTCAGCGCTAGAAAAGCTGGGTTCGAGTCAAGCTTTATCACCACCAACAACTTGGGCTGGGTGCTTGCCAGCTTGGAGCCTCTGTTTTCTCACTGATAACATGGAGGTGATGAATTACCTGTTTCCGGGCTTGTTGTGAGAATCACATGGGTCCCTGCCTGTAAAGCCCTGAACACAGCAATGGCCCAGTGCTGCCTGGAACAGTTGCTGTTACTAACCTTCCAATGTGCGTTATGAACTGCTGCCAGAATCGAATGAGAGACTGGACAGGAAAGCACTGTAAGCTGCAAAGTGCCATCGTCATTGTACCTTGTATTTCTAGATATGCAAGATCCTGCCAGGACCAGTGGCCCGAGCCCCGTATCTATGATGATGTTCCTTATGAAAAGATGCAGGTATGGTCCCTTGGGACTGCCCAGGAACGTGGCAAAGGCCACTTCTTAGCGCTCCCTCTGTCTCCCTTAACAGCAGGGATATGTTCTGAGAAACGTGCCGTTAGGCGATCTCATTGTTGTGAGAACATCACAGAGTCCACGTACACAACCATAGATGGTACAGCCTACCGCACACCTGGCTATATGGTGTATCCTACGGATCCTAGGCTACAAACCTGTACAACATGCCAATGTACAAAGCAACACGACATTATATCAAGCACAAGAGAGAATGATGCAACCAAGAGACGCAGTAAACACGAGATGGATGAGGCTGCTCCAGGTGGAACGTGGCATATTGTTTCACAGCAAACTTCTTTTTTATGAGTAGAAGGCGCACTCTAAAATAATGATAAAAAGTATAATATAGTATAGTATAGTATAGTATATACATAAACCATTAACAGTGGATGATTATCAAGTATGATGTACTGTACATAACGTTATGTGCGGTCCTTTTATATGACCGGCAGTGCAGTAGGTTTGCTTATCACCACAAACTCGTGAGTAATGCACTGCAGTGTAACATAACAACAGCTACGACATCCCTAGGCAATAGGGATTTTTCAGCTCTGTTATAATCGTAGGGGCCACTACTGTACATGCCTTGACAGAAACATCACTATGCAGTTCTCCTTTTTCCCTTTGCCTCAGAGAGATCATTTTCATTTAACCAGCAGCTGGAAGGGGAGGGAGGACCCTTCTTATCACAGACTGTGGCGCAGGAGGTTGGATGGTACAGCGGACAGCTCCCAGATTAGGAAGAAGGGCTCTGTACACTCCAGTCTGAGCAAGGTGCTGGATTCGGCACCCATTTAAGGCTCTGTGAACTAATGCTGCTGATTCAGTGGTATCTTGGGAGTTCAGGGGGGGACACTAACAGAAGGCCACCCCCATAGGCCTTTACCTGGTGGCTTCTACAGTCAGGACTTCAGCTCCCAGGACACAATCTCCCTGTCTTGCGTGCTAAACCAAGGAGATGCCAGCTCATTAATTTACAGTGAAACCTCTATAGCCATCACACGACCTGGACTGCTCCTGGCCTGCTCTATGCCTTCTCTTCCCACAGGAGAGCCAGAGAGCCACACTGTGATCAGACCCTGGTGGGTGGATCAGGCCTTACAACTACAGGAGAGAGAGAGAGGGAATCAAACTGCCAAGGAAAACCTGCCTTGAGCTGTGCTAGATGATATTCTGAGCTTGCACCTCTAGGACCCCCGTTTAGAAACTTCCCCCGTCATCCTGTTTACATGGCCTTTCTTCAGACTCAGATGAACCAGTGGATGCAGCTTGAGATCTTTCTCAGTTGCAGAGTTTAGCAGCAAGACAACTTAGTACTTAAGGACGCAAGCTTTGGACTCAGGGCTCAATCTGAGCTACCTTGGGCTTCACTCCTCTGATCCTCACTTCCTGGATTCAAATGGATATGATAAAACCTACCTGATTGGGCGACTGCAAGAACTAAATAAATATTTTATGGAAAGCACTTAGCACAGAGCCTGGACATTGGAAGGTCTTACACAGAAAAGTACAAGTGAATCCTACTGCTCTTACTAATATCATTATTATATTACATTATTATCACATTCCTCTCACAGTTTTCTGACCTTTACAGGAATTTGAGTGTTCTTAATACTCCTCATGCACAAAGGCAGAGTACGTCTAAATTATGTAACATCTACCATTGGCTGATCGCACCCATGACTTTTTTTTTTTAAATAATTCAGAAATTTGAAGGATACTTTGAAATGAGATAAGGACAAAAATACCTGTGATAAATCAAGTATGGTGACTCACAATCTTTTAAGACGTCTTAATTTTCCTCTCAGCAGATATTCCAATTTAGGGTTGCCTTCTGCTGCCCCCCACAGGAAGGCATGAGGCTCAAATGATAACACTGCTAATGAAAATGGTATATAAACTGTTGAGGGCTGCACAAGTCTAAACATATAAGGCCAAGATCTCAGAGGCCCCACAGCACTCATCCACCGAGCACAGACCCTCCACTGATAACTCGGAGCCTACCTGGACTTCATCTCCTTCTTCCATCTCCCACTCAGGACGAGGAGCCGGAACGTCCCACGGGGGCCCAGGTGAAGCGCCATGCCTCCTCCTGCAGTGAGATGTCCCACCGAGTGGATCCACAGGTCAAAGTCAAGCGCCATGCCTCCAGTGAGTTCTGTGTGGGGTGGGGAGAGAAGGGAACAGTCCATGAGGGGTGGGAGTCTCAAACTCAGATTCCTCCAGGGATCAGGCAGGTAAAGACATGAGTGAAATGAGGTGTAAGAAAACATTCTCCCATAAGAAAAATGACATCACAAGCACACTGCTAAAGGGCACCTAGCGTGTGGCCTCCGAGGAGAAATGACAGGAGTGGGGTGTGGGGGATTGAGTGCTCAGGCTCCTACTGTAGGAATGGCCGCCACTCAGCTCTGCTGATGGCCCCACGCTGCAGTGCCAGCCCAGATCTGCCAATTATTCCAGAGAGACCAGAAAGCTAGACTTTATATAAAATTTACTTATTTTTTTTAATATTAGCAACTAATTTTTTTTAATGTAAGGCCAAATATATATACATACATATATATTTAAATATTTATAAAGTTCATCCTCAAGCTGTGTCTGTTCCAGTGGCTAACAATTTATAATTTCTGATCTGGGGGTAGTAAGTGGAGAACTGAACTCCTCCAAATTACCCTTGAGGCAGCTGCCGCCAAAGGTGTGGCTCACCTCTCTGTCCCCGTCCCAGCTCTGCCTGGCGGGGGGCTTAGTTAATTGCCTGATGGCCACACTGCACAACAATGACTAAGAATGCCAGACAACTCTGTGGTACATTCTGTTTGATTTTCAAAGCTAACCTCTGCTCCTGTGTGATGTATCCTTATGAGCAAGCCAACTTCCCGTTGATAGCATGTTCCAAGAGTCTTTTACTTGTTGCTTTACATTTCTTCCCCCTGCACCTGAACAAAGTCAAATTCTATTCTTTGCTTTTGGAAGATTTATTTTTTAAAATACTTTTTAAAATTATAACTCCACTTCGCTAGTATAGATAATCTGTTCTGGGGGTCAGGAGACCCATATTCCATTCCTAACTTGATCAGTAAATGACTATGTATCTTTGGAGAAGTCCCTTCCCCTTTCTCGATCTGAGTTTTTCCCTCTGAACAATTAGCAGATTGTTGTGTAACATTCCGTACACTCTACTCTCAAGGGCACTGCAAATACTGGGACTTATGGAATGCCCGTTTTAAAATGGAAAACAAAACTGAAAGAAGCATGCAAGATTAAAGAAATCACAAAATGTGTTTTTAAAAAGCCTAACAACAAAGATAAAAGCAGACACTTCCTTCAAATCAAATCTTATGTTGAAGCGCAGTTATAAAAGATATAAAAGTGGAGCTGCTCTGGTTGGGATCAGGAGGTCCACCTGACCTACCCTTTGCCCCACATAATAGTAGCCTGTTAGCCATCCCTGTGAAATCATAGGGCTCCTTGCAGGGCAGCTGGAAACCATAGATCTCCTCCAACCACGTTTTTCAGAGGAATAAACTGAAGAAAATAAAAGAGAAGGGTCTTCCCCGCAATCATGTATTAATTACCTACTGCTATATAACAAATTACCCAAAATGTAATAGCTCAAAAAAATAAGCATGTGTTATGTCACTGATTCTGTAGGTCAGGAATCCTGGAGCAGCTTAGTTAGGTAGCTCTGGCTAAGGTCTTTAGTGAGGTTGCAGTTGAGATGTCACACAGTCATCCATGCGAGGCGAAGCAAATCAGGAAGACCAGAGGTTGGTCCCACCCAGCACCTTGCTCAAAAAGCAGGATTGTCACGCCAAGAGAAGTGACAGGTCCCACCCCTAGATCCAGAACAGTGACTCAGAGATTTTGCCCAGGGTAAAAGGCAGGCCATAGAACAGAGAACTCCAAAGCTCTCCCTCTAAAGAACTAACTTTAGTTGGAATGGACTGTGGGTAAATTCAAGCCTAGGGTACTCTGAGAAACAATGGAGATTTGGTGGTAACCAAGGAAGGAGGCTAGTAGTCCCACGAGCAAACTAAACCATAGGTCAGCTAGTTCATCAGAGAGAACCAGGGAAAGAGACAGCTAAGAAGAGCCCTCCTGGGGTCAGAAAAAGACTGACCTCAAAAGATTGGCCTCAGAGATTACTCCGTAAAGGGGCTGAATTAATTTGATCGGACCCTGGAGCAACTGATACCCCAGGACATTGTCAAAAACAACAGAGCCATCCACTAACAATTAGAGGAGCCTACCAGCTCTGTGTGATACCAACAGAGGCAGAGAGCTGAACAGAGAGATCAGAGAGAGAGTCCGAGCCCTGTTAAGACCACTGTCCTCTCAGGGTGACTTTACCCAGGCCCAAGGTCGCACCCACTGAGAAGCCGCATCGGAAGCTTCACACTACCGGGGGAAATGGACTTCACTGAACAAGCCAGCTAAGTCACTAAACAAACAACCCAGGGGTCGGGGGATCAGTATCCAGAGATGCTACAATGTATTTATATAAAATGTCTAACTTTCAGACAAAAAATATGAAACATGAAAGTGTGACCCATACAGAGCAGAAAAAAAAAGAATAAAGAATAATGAACAGAGCATCAGAGAAATGCAGGACACCATTAGCACAATAACATATGCACAAAGGGAGTCCCAGGAGATGACAAAAAGGAGCATAAAAAATATTAAAAGACATAATAATGGCTGAACACTTGCCAAATTTATTGAAAAACATTAATTTATACATCCAGGATACCAGTGACGTTCAAGTAGGATAAAGGCAAAGAGATCCACAAAAGACACATCATGGTCAAAATCCTAAAGCCAGATAAGGAGAAAACCTCAAAAGCAGAAGACAAAATAGATTCATCACTTATAAAAGATCCCCAATAAGATTAAAGGCTGAGTTATCAGAACAACGGTGGCTTTTCCCCTAACGTCACCTGGAATATTATTCAGCAATAAAAAGGAATGATGTACTGATATATACTACAGTAGTACATTAGTCACATTAGTAACTTGAACACTAAACATTCCTTCCCCTCCCACCCCCCACTATGGAAGCCCGGATTTTTCTGGAAGGTGCTTGGGCAGTCTGAAGCAAATATTTTATCAATAATACTATGAGACCCACAGAATTATAGCTCCTTAAAACAATCTTGGTTACTCCTTCACCACGTGTTACGGGGTGGGGGCGTGGGGGTGTATAAAACAAGCTGCTCTCCATGGTGCTGACAGATTAAGGCAAACAAGGGCACTGGCTCCCAAAGTTGAGTCCACTCGCTGGTTCAGTCCCTTAGGAAGTTTTCGTTCATCTGCAGTGAAATGAGAAAAATAAGTACAGTGCATGAAGTTTCTCATAAAGCTAAATCTATTCAATGTAAATAACTATTCTATTCTGCACCTGTGTCCTTCCATCTCGGGGGATGTTAAAATATTGTTTATTTTATAAAATATTGGGAATAATAGATGGTAGTTGGGGTTTTTAAGGTCGTTAGCTGATATAATATGTTGACACCCCTTTCCTGGTCTACACTTTTTTTTTTACGAGTCTACAAAGTCCAAAATTCTGGGAGCCACCTCCCCTGAGATGCCATTGTACATCTGGGAAGTTGGGGGAGGTATGGGACCCCTTCTCTGTCCTCCCTGCTTCATTTATGATCTGGCTTGAATTGCAGGGTAACTGTGGCAGGAACTGATTTTTGCATGGTCACTGGGTAACTACGTGCGACCCCTACAGGAACTGGAGTGTCAAGACCCACAGTTATCAGCAAATCATGGGAATCACTCCATACCCCACCAACTTACAAAGGAGCGTGTATGGGTGTCTGTAGTAACAAAATAAATAAAACTTTCCCTGCCAGGCTGGACTATGGCCTTTCCCTAGCTAAGCAGTATTGCATGGCATGAACCCTAAAGCTATTGTAGATGGACATAGGTTCAAACCAAGGCTCTGCCATCATTAGCAACCTAACCTCTCTGTTCCTCTTTCCTCAACAATAAAATAGAGCTAATAATACTAAGTTTTTATGAGGATTAAATGGAAATGCATATAAGTGACCTAGCATGTCATAAATACTCAATAATTATTTTTGCTATAATTACTTGTGGTTTTTGTCCATCATCATAGTGTAGAGCCCATCGTAGACTACTGGGTTCCTCCCTTCCCCCACCCATTTCCCAGCAATGAAATGGGCAGTGCCTGACTTTAGCTCAAGGTCTCGATTCTCTATGGATCTGAGTTATATTTCCCTGTCTCCTTGTCTTATATACACCTGAGAGTTGACTTTTAAAGCCCAAGTGTGTTACACATTACAAAATTTGTTTTACATTATTATTATAATCTAACATTTATGAAGCACTAACTGTTTGCCAGGTACTATATACTAAGTACTTTTCATGAATTATCTCATTTAAACCCTACTACAACGCTAATAGGTAAATTTGATCAATATCCACATTTACAAATGAGGAAACTAGAGCTGAGGAGGAAGGCACAACACCACCACCATTCACTTTGGCCTGATGTCACACAAGCAGTAAAGGGGAAAAGAGAAGGCAAACCTTGGTCTAGCTGGTTCCAAGGCCTTTGCTCCTCGTCTCTGTGCTCTACTACCTCCCCTTTGCTCCTTGTTTCCTTAGAGTAGTCACACTAAGTATATCTAGAGCTATAGATCCAAATATCCCCATTTTGTAGATGGAGAAGTTGAGGCTGAGAAAGAAGCTAACACCACCCAAATATCCTTATCAGAGGTAAGAACTGAGTGCCTTTTCCTGCCTCGCATCTCCATAGGTGCCAATCAATACAAGTACGGTAAGAACCGAGCTGAGGAGGATGCCCGGAGGTACCTGGTAGAAAAAGAGAAGCTGGAGAAAGAGAAAGAGATGATCCGCACAGAGCTGATGGCACTGCGGCAGGAAAAGAGGGAGCTGAAGGATGCCATTCGGAACAACCCAGGTACCTGCGTGAGTGTGGTCCTAAGCGCCCCCGGGGCTCAACCTTGACATGTCCCCTACCTTTGGTCACCTAGTTTCTTACCCAGGATAGGGGAGTTTCTCCTTCCCTTCCTCTTCCCCCCTCCTCCTCCTCATCACCCCTCCTGACTAATGAAGTACTATCAATTTAATAACTGCTTTGGGGGTAAAGGGATGAAAAAGCATCACAAAAATGTGGTAAGATGCAATTTGATATTAGAAATGTTAAAATGTGAAGAACAGAGTGTGCCTTAGAATCAAGGACATAAGAAATCATTGTGAACCTCACATTAATTCATTCACAGACAGATGCTGAGCACCTGACTGTGTGAGACACTGGCCCAGGTGCTGGGAATGATGGATAAGTGATGCTCTGCCAGCATCCTCTTCTGAAATCTAGGGGGCCATGACTTCTATTGGCCCTGCCCGCTCTAGGCTCTTCTGCTGTTTGCTTTGAATTCTGTCTATAGCTGTAGTTCAGCATGCTTTCGGTACTGTGTGAGACAGGTGCTGGGAATGATGGACAGTGCCCGGTACATAGCAAGCATTCATGAAGTATTTACTGAATGAAAAAATGGATGAATGAAAGGAATCCATGATTTAAAAAAAAAACAAAACCTCCAGGGTTTGCTTCTCTCTTAGAGCAAACAGTGGAACTAATTTTTAAAACTAGAAAGGCCCAGCACAGCTCTTGGCATAAAAAAAGTTCTAATATAGGTTTGCTGGGTTAAACTGAATAAACAGCAAAATCCTCGTAGGAAACCCTGGTCAATGTTAAGCCCTGTGTTATGACTCTTGATTACAAGTAACAGAAACCAAAGTTAAACTGGCTTAGAAATGAAAACAAGGAAAATGTAATTGAAAAAAATTAAACTACCAGCTATCGTGAAGTCCAGGGACTTAAATGATGTCACCAGGATGCATATTTCTCTAATTTTTGCTTCTGTCTTCCTCAACATTGGTTTAATTCTCTCTCATGGTGGCAAAATGGCTGCACAGCTCCAGCCCTCACCCAACCCTGTCAGCCACCCCAGCAGAGAGAACTTCTCTTCCCAGTGGCCCCCACAAACACCTCAGGATTCACTCTGACCAGCTTTGATCCCTAAACAAATCGCTGTGACCAGAAAATGAGATATGATTATGGGCCACGACTAAGTCATGTGCCAACCCTTTGAACTAGGAATGAGATCAGCCCCATCCAAATGATAGAGAATGAGAGAGGAAAGGCGCTTTTCCAGTGGAAAGTCAGGGTTCTGTATTCAGAAGATGGGGAAATGGGTATTGGGCAGGTAAAAACCACACTACCTAGCTGGAACCCCAGGCCCAAAGTCCATCTCTTAACCAGGACTGAGGACCGGAAAGGCCCCCCAGCAGGGGCACACTAGGGCCTGAGGCCCTGCCCAACTCCTTGAGGCTTCAGGCCAGCATCAGCTCTTTCTCATCAATGTCGTTGAACACAGGAGCAAAGGTAAAGGTTCTAGAGGAGGCCGTGGCCAGCCTGGAAGCTCAGTGTCGGACAAAGGAGGAACGCCGGATCGACCTGGAGCTGAGGCTGGTGGCCGTGAAGGAGCGCTTACAGCAGTCCCTGGCAGGGGGCCCGGCCCTGGGGCTCTCCGTGAGCAGCAAGAACAAGAGTGTGGTGAGTCCACTCCCTGCTGCTGCTTCGTGCCCTCACACGCTGCAGACCTTGAGCATTCTTTGGGGCTGGGAGTTGTGCTCATTTACAAATAACAAAGCAGGCCCTAAGGGACACGCCATAGGCGGCACAGCTAGGAAGCGGACTCTTGGAGCAAGCTCTCTGGCCTGTGTTCTCTCCACTGACGCAACCCCATTTGACTTTGTATCCTTAATGTGATCTGAGAAGTGGCCCTGTGATTACTGGTAATAATGACTACCATATGTTGAATAACAAACTGGTGTGGATCAATTACCACGGGCCAGTGCAGACGCTTAACCTGTATTATCTCACGTAGTCCTCACAGCAGTCCTGTGAGGTAGTACTGTGTGTATTCACCCTGTTTGACAGACAAGGAAACTGAGGTTCAGAGATGTTGAGCGACTTGCTCAAGGTCACTCAGTTAAGTGGGAGACAGGATCCCAAACCCAGGAAGTCTGACTCCAGGCCCTGCTTTCACCACCTTGCACATGCCCTCTCCTAGGATGCCCAGTGTACCAGGCCCAGTCCCCAGGGCTTGGCATCCGTTATCTCTAACATTCCCAGCGACCCTGCAAGGTGGATCCTCTCATCTTCAATGAGATTTCCTCGGGGAGAACTTCACTGACCTCAGTCTATATCAGTGTCTCAACCTCAGCGCTCTTGATATTGGGGAACAATAATTCTTGTTTATTAAGGGATTGCCGTGCACATTATAGGATGTTTAGCAGCATCCCTAGCCTCTACCCACTAGATGCGAGTAGCGCCACGCCCCCAGTTTTGTCTTCGAACATTTCCAAATGTCTCTGGGAAGGCAAAATCGCCCCCATGTGGGAACCACTGAGCTAAATTACCAACAGCTCCATCTGTTATTCTTCCTCTTTTACACTTAACCACAATTTTTCCGTATATATTTGTCTCATTACTTGTCTAATGTCTATCTCCTCAATTAAATGGTATTTTTAAGAATTGGACTATATCTATTTTGTCATTATAGCTCTTTACAGAGTTCAAAAAATAGGAGTGCAATAAATGTTTGTCGAATGAATGTTATACTTGCTTCCAGACAAGGAAATTGAGACTCAGAGAGATTAAATAACTTGTCTGACAAGTGTGAGTTGTCATGGAGAACCATAATCTTATTGTTTGTTGTCGAAGTTCACATTGCCTGGTCAGACCACACCCCATGATTGGGAAGCTAGAGCTGTTTTTTCCACCCTGCACTTCCTCTCCAGGGGCTGGTTTCCACCTCATTTACAGATGAAGAGCTTAAGGGCCGGGGAAAGAACAACTTCACAGTCACAGAGGGCTGGTGCACACAGCTGCTTCCTCCCACCAGCATGCCTTGACGTTCACTTTCTAGGAGACTTTTCCCTCCACTTTTGTTCCTTTTCACGGCATTTGGAGATAAAGAGAAGTCTTCTCTAAATTCCCTGCAGGCTTACCTGTTAATATGTCATACTTAAGGAGCTATATCCAATAAGGTGCTAAATAATCAACTGGAAATTTTAAGGGGTGAAGGCAGTATGGAAATTAGAAGGAATACAGGAGAGAGGGTAAGAGATAGCACTGTGGGGTTTGAATCCCAACTCTCCCTCTCACCAGCCACGTGACCTTGAGCAGTGACTTGACCTTCCCATTTTTCTAATTTGGAAAATAAGATAACTGATAGTACCTACTTCCCAGACTTGTTAAGGCTATGTGAGCTAATCCACATAATGCCAGGTACATAGTGAGGGTGCAGTCATTTTAGCTGCCGTTACCTTTATTCCAAGGCCCTTAACTGTCTTCCTCCCCTCACCCTGTCTGATGTTGGCAAGTTTGCATAGTACCTTCTATTTGCATTCTTTTGAGGGCAAACCAGGGGTAGGTAGCCAGCACTAGACGCACCTATGTAATTATTTGTCATCAACAGGAAACTGCAAATAAACCCCAGAACAATGCCTCAGAACAACCTGTCCCTGTCAACTGTGTTTCTGAGCTGAGGAAGAGGAGCCCGTCCATCGTAACCTCCAACCAAGGAAGGGTGCTACAAAAGGCCAAGGTAAGCAATGGCTCAGCTAATCAAAATTCAGAGATCTGGCAGCCTCCTTTCTATGGAAACTCACTAAGAACCAAAGACGTCAGCTAATGAGAAAGGCAAAGAATTGCCAGTATATCCATGCAATAAAACTCATGAGCTTTGCTCAGAGGGGAAGACCCTCAGCTCTCATTCAGAACCTATTTACTCCATCTTAACACCTAGTTCTAGCAATCTCTGCCTTCAGAGCCTACACCATGTTTTGAGAAAAGAAAGGCCCGTGTCATAGGTAAGGAAACTGAAGATCAGGGAGTGAAGATTCGCCCAAGGTTATACAGGGCACCATTGCAAGAGCTGCCTTGAAAACCCACCTCTTCCAATTCTAAGTCCAGGACTCAGTCCATAATATGGGTCCACAGTCCTGTGTCTGAAACTCCTGGGGCCAGCTGTGTTTCAGAATGTACTGAATTTTAGAAAGGTAATATGGTGCATATATTATATATGATGAAAAACCCCAGCAAGTTCTCAGGAGGTACCCTGTAGGCAAACACATTAATAATTCTATAGAAAAACACATAACTATTCATACCATGTGGAATAAATAGATGATAAACATCAGTTCAGGTCAGGTTTTGCCACCAAACGAATTGGTACCAAAACACTTGAGAAAAATTTTGGTTTCAGAGCTTTCTGGGTTTCAAAATTGCAGGTAAGAAAGTGTGATCTTGAAAAACAAATACCTGAGCATTATAGAAGTAACCAGCCAGAAGCCAGATCATCTAGACCAGATATCAGCAAACTTTTTCTGTAAACGGCCAGACAATAAACATTTGAGGTTTGTGAACCACTTCACTCTGCCACTGCAGCAGGAAAGCAGCCACAGATGATATGTAAGCAAATGATGAACATGGCTGCGTCCCAATAACACATTATTTATGGGCACTGAGATTTGAATTTCATATAATTTTCACATCACAAAAAATTATTCTTTCGATTTTTTTTCAAACATTTAAAAACGTGAAAACCATTCTTAGCTGATGGATCACACACATCTCTGGGCCACTGCATGTTTTCATACAAACATGATCCTTTTGATCCTTGTAGGCCATTGCAAAAACTTTGGAATTTTTTCTAATATAATAGAAAGTCATTGTCAAGTGTTTTTGGGGTTTTTTTGGTTTTTTTGTTTGTTTTTAAAATTTTTTATTGGGGGACTGGGGGATGGGAACAGCACTGGAGAATTGGGGGAAGGGGAACAGACAAGTTGTTGTCCTTTTGTTCTTCAGTCTAGTTGTGGAGGATGTTGCTTCACTGGTCCAAGTTGGCACCATCACTGCGCTCTTCCCGGGCGAGACAGATCAGTAGCCGGCTTCTGGACGGCCGCTCACTGTGGCTGCTGGCCGCTCATGCTGGCTACTAGCTACACACGGTAGCCTATAGCAACCCACAGGGGCTGCAGCCTACGCCATTGCCGGCGACTCAGGGCAGCCCAGCTCCAGGTTGAGCTGTTGTTCAGTATCTTAGCTGTAGAGGGCAGTGTCACTGGCCCTCATATGTGGGATCCAAACCAGGGCCCTCTGGCATTCCAAGCCAGCTCTTAACCAACGCACCACTTGGCCAGCCCCATTGTCAAGTTTTGAGCCAGGAATGTGGGGATATGAATTACATTTTGAAAAGACCATTCTGGCTACTATGTTGAGAATGCACAAGGAGATAAGAGACCAGTTAGAAATAGATGAGGAAGGGCCAGCTGACTGGCTTAGTTGGTTAAGAGCTTGCACAAGAGTGTGAGCTCTGAGCAATAGGGTCACCGGTTCGATTCCCACATGGGCCTGAGCTGAGCTGCCACTTAGCTGCCAACAGGTGGCAGGATGGCTCAGCGAAAGAAAAGAAAGAAAGAGAGAAAGAGAGAGAGAGAGAGAGAGAGAGAGAGAGAGAGAGAGAGAGAGAGAGAGAAAGGGATGAGAAAGGTTTAATGGAGGTGATATGAAGTGGCTGGCTTTGGAGGTAGAGCCAAAGGATTTGCCAATGAGGATGTAGAGAATGAGGAAAACAAAGGAATCAAGGATGACTCCTAGGTCACTGCCCTGAGCAACTGTGGTTCAGGTGGCAAAGACTGGGAGAGGAGTAGGTTGGGACTGAAGAACCCTCCCAACCAAGAATTTTCTTACCACCACGTTCTACCCTGGTTCACACCATCACCTCCGGGGCTGGCTAGACACCCATGCATCATTTATGCGTCAACAGCCATCCACCATTGGCCATGACTTCAGTTTACCTCTCAGATGAACTCCTGGAAGCCCCAAGAGAAGGCAAGGACCCCAGTGGGCTGCCTGCCCTCACCCTCCTCACCAGACGGCTTTGGCTTCTCTCCCACCCTCCTCCTACCCCACCCCAAGGTCCTGTGAAACAGCACTGCGGTCCCCACTCCCCTCCTCCTTCTGGGCCTCAGTTTTCTTGTCTGAGAAAGACAAATTTTGTGAGGTTTGAGCCCCCTTAGAGATGAGACCCACTGTAGAGAAATGATTTAGCCACAGCCAAAGGGGAGCAGGACAAGGACCTATGGCTCTCTAATATGGTCCGTGGAGATTTTTCTATAATGAGGTGCAGTGGAATGTTTGTATCCTGCAAGTCACACAGACTACTCACCAAACTGATTTGTCTTCTCTTTCTGTACTTCAGGAATGGGAAATGAAGAAGACCTAGAAAGAGGATGAGGATTTTATCCAAAGAAAATATGAGCTTGTCCATCTAAGGCGGAAATGCTTTTTTCACAAAGAGACATCAGAAGACTGGAAGTAGCCCCCACTTTCTGGGGCACCCAAAAGACCAGCCTTTATTGTCTGCATGAGAGGGGGAATAGGGAGGGAAGACATAGGAAGAAGGAAATGGAGGGCATCCCCATATAACTTTACAGAGGGTGGAAAGTGGGAGTGGAGGGAGACAGAAATCCGCTCAGTTGTAAAAGTTTTGTTAAACGTCTTTGCCTTCCCTTCTGAAGAAGAAATGAAAGCATATGTGAATAAGCCACCCATCCCATTCTCAGCATCCCTGTCCCGTCCTTCAGGCAAAGGAAGGCAGTGCTAAAGCACCAGTGGTGCGCATAGAGACAAGACTTGATCATCTGATCACATTTGTGCCCACTGGATTCATGTTGGGCAATACTGAGAGCCTCTGGGCAAGATAAACAGGCTTAAAAATCAACAGAATTACCCCTGCTTGCATAAAAGTGAATGAAAGCTATACAGAACATGTAAACTCTACAAGCATTCCTCATCTGCTTAGGCAGATGCAGCTACCAGAACCCCAGATTTGAACTGTTTTCAAATCTGAGATCTGCCTATGGAGCAGGCAAAGAGGTTCAGCAGGTGACATATTTCAAGCTCCGAGTGATACTCAGTGACAGGAGCATAGATTTCTAATGTCCACAAGATATCGCAGGCTTTGTAGGGTGGGGTCATTTGCTGTCAGTCATGTCCTTTACCTATTTTTATGACACTCAAGCTCCAGGAGCTATGGTTAACAATCTAAGTGACACTCTTTGTGTTTATCCTTATCTTGCTCTCAGAGGCCCACCAGTCTGCCCTTCCATATCGGCTATGAAGTAAAACTATCAGGGAGAACCAAGAGACGGTGGCTCATTTCTGCAGCATGAGTGCCTTTTACAAACACTTGATACTTGTATAGAGGAGCAAGGACCTCAAATGCTGGACAGTCTCCTTACTGTGCCACTCGCTACTTTTTCAACACTGCAGGCACTTTATAAGTCTTTGCCACATTTCCCTCCAATAAAGATAAAACCATTTAACTACATGAGCTTAGAGGTTAGCTCAAGGGGAGAGAAGGGAAATCCCAGAATAACCTCTGGACACTTTGTTAGAGGCTTCACATACTTTACCCTGCCTAAGGCTTTACATACTTGAGCCTCATCCGAAAGTTTCCACCTCTGAGAGAGCTGGAGACGAGAGCAAGAAAAATAACCTGCCCAGAAGCGCCTAGCTGGTCAGTGGCGGAGCATAAGGCTTAGGGCTGATGAGCCTCGATCCAGACAGGGCTGGGTTGGAGCCCTGCCTCTGCCACTTAACAGCTGTGACTTTGGGAATGTCACTTGCCCTCTCTCGTTCTTGTTTTCCTTACCTATGAAAACCTGGCTAACAATTGTACTTTCCTCCCAAAACTGTTGGGGGAATTCAATGAGATAACAATACATGGGAAGCATCTCACACAGTATCCAAGAAATAGTAAATGCCCAGTCAATAGTGGTTCTTATTACTAACTAGATAAGAAATGTCTGACTCAAAATCCTGTGTCCCTTCCACTGGAGAAGAAATGACTTTTATATGGTAATTACAACCACCAAAAGCTATAAGGCAACCAATCCGTAATGGACAGTTTTCATCCAGATTCTACCTGTCTTCATTGACAAAGGTGCTCACCTAATCTGGATTGTCAATGTTCTTTTTTAAATGTGGATCCTGGAATGTCACCTAACAACCCAACTGTATCTTCATTCTTTCCCATGTTATTTTGAGGCTAAGTGTCTTTTTCCACCAACAGATGTTAGACCCTTTGAGAGGTGGGACCCTAGGAAATTAATAATTAACATTTATTGAGCACTCACCAGGTATCAGGCACTATGTGAGCCAGGGCCAGCTTCACAGGCAGGCAACCATGTACAGTCATGCTTAGTATGGCCCTGTGCTTGGTTGATTGCTCTGCTGTTGCCCTATTAATAAGTTTAGAACAAGGGGCTCCACATTTTCCTTTTTCCTTTTAAATTACATAGCAGGTCCTAGTGCTAACTACTTGCTTTTCTAGGCATTATCCCTTTAGTTTTCATTCAAGCTCTGTGAGATTGGTTCTCTTACCCTAGTTTTCACAGTTCAGGAAATGGAAGCCCAGAGAGGTTAGGTAACCTGCCCAAGCCCACAGTTAGCAAGTGGTGGAGCCAGCACTTGAATACAGTAAGTGTGACCTCAGAGCCCCTCTTCTTAGTTCCAAGCCTCTGTTTCATCCCCTTGCACTGCGACACTCAGAAGCACACTAGCACTTAATAGATGAATAAATGGATGCATATATGCAGCACATTTGGTAAGTTGGACAGCTAAGAGAGGTGTAAAGAAAACAGCTAAAGCATGGATGCCAGTTCTTGCTTGTTCGGTTGTTTTTCAAAGTATAGGCTCATGGGTCTGAGGTGGACTTGAAGTTCCATCCTTCCCAACACTACCACGTGTTTGGACTATCAGATTTGTAGTGTCAGTGGATCCTCTGTGGGGGACCTTGAGCAGGTTCACCAACCTCTCAGCCTCAATTTTCTCATATGTAAAAGTGTATCATAATCCCTCCTTAAATTACGTTGCTCTTCTCTTAAGACCAAAAAGAAACATGATGTGTTGGCTATAACACATCTGAACTGGGCCTTGGATAGCATACAAACATGCAAAAGACTTCCAGCTCTGACCTCACGGAACTCATAGACAAGCAGAGAGAAAATCTTACCCAAATAGCTACAATACAAGCAAGCCATGTTATGGTGAAGATTCAGAATGATGAAGGCACACTTTTTTTGTTTTGTTTTGTTTTGACCTTAGAGACAATCCAGTAACTAGTCTGGCAACTCCAAGTACCCTCAACCCCAATCACCAGTCCATCCTCATATTGTGTCAGCTTTCCATACTAAGTCTCTCTAGAATTCATCCACTTCTTCCCATCTCCACTGACTCCATCCAACTTCATTAATTCATTCAACAAATTTTATTGAGCACTTACTATGTGCACCTACTGTACTAGATGTCAGAAATCACAACTGTGAACAAGGCAGACACCCTCATGAAACACTCTAGCTGGGAGAACCAACAAAAAGAAAATGAAACAAATGAAATACTAAGATGAAAACAAAAATGTGCTGGACGCACCTGAAATAGTAACTACCTCAGATAGGGTGATTACAAAAGTCTTTATGGAGGTGACCCCGGGACCCTTGCATGGACTTTTCCAACAGCTTGTCTCCCTACCTATTTCCTCACAGCCTGCAATCTCTTCTCTATAGCAAAATGACTCCCTTAAACATGTGAAGGCTTTGAAACATGTTCCCATCTCAACCAAAATAAGACTGAAGTTCATTCAACAAAAAATTTTGAACTATATTAGGGCACTGTTCATTGAAAATGAAGACAAAAAAAAAAAATCTCTGCCCTAACGGAACTCCCATTTTAGTGAGGGGAAATGAGAAAATTGGAGGAAAAAAGGTAGGGAAGAGTGATTGGGGGAGGGGGTCAGGCTCCTAATTTTTAAAAATCCCTGATGTAATGTTGCCCCTCTTTCTCCACTATCTCATCTACTCATTCATCAGCTTTCAGTTCAAATATTATTTCCTTTAGGAAAACTCCCCACACTCGGCCATATTGTAGTCTATGCTTCCGCAGTACCATGCCCCTCACCTTTAAACCTCGGTCCTATTTTTTACCTTTTTATTGCGTTTGTATTTGTTTGTTGTTTATAACTTCACATAAGCTCCACGAGAGCACAGTTGGGAACCCCTTTGCTCACCGCATAGTCCAGAGCTAGCAACGAACCTACATCGTGATAGAAACACATCCTATGCGCTGAATACACTGAGGACCGGAAGTGTTGCGCTCCGAAACACAAGCACGGTGCGCAAGGGAAACCGGAAGTGCAGCATTCGCAGCCCTGAGGAAGAGACGCTCGCGAAGGCTGCCGGGAAGCGTGGTTTTCTAAGTGAGCGTATTTCGTCCTTGCAGCAAGTGCGCGTGCGCTGCCTCCGTCAGCGTAGGTCCGGAACATGGCGGCGCGTGCCTTGTGGGCGGTCCGGCAAACTGTGCAGCGCCTCTTGGCCTCGAATGCGGCGTCGGATGGCAGGTAAGAAAGCGAGGCAGGCCGCGGGTCGGGGACGTGAGGACAATGCCGGAAGAGCGAGCTAGGGGCCGTTGTGGGCGAGAGGCCCCATTAAGCCTCGGCGGCCAGGATCAGGCGCTCACGGCCCCATTTTACAGAGGGGCAAACTGAGGCCCACAGCGGCGCGTCTTTGCCAGGCGGGGGAAAGTGGGAAGGTCCGAGGTCACGTCCTCGGAAGTGGGACGGCTCTTAAGCCCCGAGCATAGATCCAATTGGGTAGGTACTTCTTCCCGCCCCTTCTTCCCAGCTGTGGTGTCTGAAGGTAAATTAGATTCTCTCACCTGATTCCTGTGTTACTTGAAACCAGTCTGTTCCCCATTATCCGGGTTTCACTTTACCTGTCGGAAAAAAAAGAGGGCATTGGGCTTGGCCTCTCCCCGCAAGACCCTTTCACCTACTTTGGGGAGTCTGTGAAGTTGCAGTTGCTGCTGTTATCCATCGGCCGCGGCAGTTTTTATTGACCACTGGTCATTTCGATTGCAAAACTATGGGTAGTTCTTTTTATTATCCTCGGGAAACTGAGGTTCGGAAAAGTTGGATAACTTCTTGGAATAATACTCGGGACATGATGGAACCCAGATTGGAAACCAGCCAGAGCTCCAGAATGAGAGCTTTTAATTAGTGAGCAGTGTTAATTCTCAGGAACAATTCCCTGTTGACTATTCCTGGGAAAGAAGAAAATAGCTGAGTAGACGGGTGGGTAAGGTTCGACCTCTGAAATGTAAAATTAAGCCGCGGGAATCCGAGAATGACTGTATGCATAACTGTTTGTCACCTTTTTACCCTACACCTGACATAGCACCCCGCCCTAACACCTGGATTGGAGGGTAAATTTAGGGATTTCACCTTTTTTTTTTTTAATCACTGTTACTTTATTGTAAGTCTTTTTGGCAGTTTGTGATGTAGGGAAGTGACCAGAAGAAAAATTGCCCCTTCTGATAAAATTTCCCTCCACTCCAGTAGTAAAGCAGTAGGAATTGAAGGGATGGGCCACTACTGTCCTCTGTTTCACAACTTGGGCTTTGGTCATTATCCCTTTAAGCTGGCCCTGAGAATATTCTGACTTAATTTCTATTGGATAAATGTGGTTTTTTTTTAGGAAGAAGGAGATATTTCACCCTGTGTGATTTGCCCCAGATCTGTAGTGACCCTGTTTTCTGAACCAAAAATTTTGGACCATATGTATAACCTGACACCAGATCATAATCAGTGAATTCAGGACTGGCCTGGAAAGTCAGAGATAAAAGTTGTGTTGCCCACACCTTATACTGATTGTTCCCTCATCCCTTTCTTGAGGCAAACTCCTTTACCATCTTTAAACCTTTGCTCAGATGTCACCTCAATAAGCACCTTTCAATATATGCCAGTTTATATAAACACACTATTTTTTAAAGAGCTTTTATACTCACAAATTGATTTTCTTGATGACTTCACGTCAAATTATGAGGATCCAGGAGGTGTATTGGAAACTTCATTGAAGGGGAGGGGTCAGATCCAAGATCTACAAACTAGCCCACGCTCCAAATGTTTTTCTGTGTAAACTGAACTAAATGTCAGACATTTTAGCTGTACAGAAATTGTAGATTATAAACATAATTGAATACAAAGATCTGTTTTATTCACCTGTTGATAATTCACAGTCCATATACATAGTGTTTTATACATATTTAATTGACTTGATTTTACGTATTGATGAGTTACCATCTCAGAGTTTTTCTTATTCAGCACAGATTCTCTTCTCTAAAAGCCTTATTTATAGCTTGCAATCAAGAAGGTTTAGAATTCTAGGCCTAACCCCAGTTTGATAAAGTCCCTTTACTTGGCTTTATTTTCCCCACCTATATAATGAAGGATTGAACTAGAACTGTATGGCTTTGTGTTTTGAATTCTGCCCGCTGATATTGCCCCGCTGGCTCTAGGGATCAGAACTTGGTTTTGTCTTGCTGACTTTTGTGTCCCCACTTCTGGCTATCTCTGTTTCCTGGTGATCAGTCTCCTGGCTCAACCGAATACCAGCTGTGTGATTTGAGCAAGTCTTAATCCTCTCTGAGCCTCAGTTTTCTCATCTGTAAAATAGGGGTGATAATATTTATCTCAAGTATTGTGAAATGAAAAGATAACTTAAGTAAAACCCTGAAACCACTGTCTGGTACTTAGAAAGCACTTTTTAACTGTTCATATTGTTACTGTGACTGAAAGTACGTTGTCTAAAGTTCAATCTGGAAACTTCCTAGTCTCTGAACTTTGTTGTCACTTTGGCTGTTTATGATGGCATTTCTTCATTATGCGCCACCTCCCTCCCACTTTAGGGGATGTCTGCGTTCTTTCAGCACTGCCACCCAGAGAACTGCTGGTGAGGACTGCAGTTCTGAGGACCCTCCTGATGAGCTTGGGCCCTCTCTTGCAGAAAGAGCCTTAAAGCTAAAAGCTGTTAAACTAGAGAAGGAAGTCCAGGACTTAACAGTGAGTAGATTTCATATTATCTGTTCTTCACATTCTCTCTCTGGTTTAAATATCCAAGTAACGTTTTTTATGTCACATTTTTAAAGTAAGTTTCCTCTAATTGGCTGTTTACCTCTCACCCCAGTTCCACTCTCTTGCTAGGTATACTATGCAAAATCTGTCGTAGTTCAAAAATAGCACCGCGTAAGGATAGTCATCTCTTTCAGCTCCCTGTTGTGTTACAGTACTTAGATATCTGGTATTTTGGTAACTTCAAAGGAGGTGCAGTGAGTGTCTGGCATGTGGTAGACACTCAATAAATATTTGTTCAATGAATGAGATCATTTATCATTTTACTCTGCTGATCAGATTACATTTGGCAAACTTTCCTGTACTGGGTTGATAGACACACTTTGAGGAAGATAGATGTTAGAGTAATTACACAGTAAGACCACCCAGAATGGTAAGGAGATTGGAACGCATGTTTTATGAGAGCAGTTAAAAGAACCAGGGATTATAAGAGTGAAAGAGAAAAAGACTAAAGGGGCTGAAATAATTGCCTTCAAATAGATGACACACTTTTAAAGCGTACTCTTGGTTGTCCTAGAGTTCAATTCAATGAACAAAAGTTGGAGGGTGGTAGTGTTGGCTGACTATGAAAAAGAAAGCTTTTTATCAAGATGAGCTTCAAAACTGTCGTTAGAGTGTTCAAACTAGCAGGCTAAGTGGCAGCCTTTCGAGGCGCTTGTAAAGAGTAGGTTCCTGCTTTGGGGATCTGGAGTAGCTGATCTAAGATTCCTACAACTCTACTCATTTTTTTCAACTTAAAAACCTATCACAAGGGTAAAATTTGTAAAGTAAGCAAAAACATTGTTTCCTACCAAAAGGCATTTGTTTTCTCATCATTTTGACTTGGCTTTTGATGGTTCAGGTGAGATACCAGAGAGCTGTAGCTGATGGTGAAAACATAAGAAGGCGAACCCAGAGATGTGTGGAAGACGCTAAGATATTTGGTGAGAGATTCAGTTACAATAAAAAATACCCTTTACTTCAAGGCCACTTACTAACAGTTCTTCAAACTGAACATATTGAAAACGCTTCTGGATCTTTAACTGATCCCTCCCCTCCTCCATTCTTCCCAAAGGCTTTCCATGCTGCTTATAGGGAATGTTCTCAAGTGAACCATTTGCTAAAATAATGCTGCTCTCTGTTTTGACCGAACCTTTGTTATCTTATTTTTCAAGCATGTACATTTAACATTTTAGTGCTTATACAGACAGTTCTGTTTAACTCATTAACCAACAAGTGAATCATTTAAGTGTTCAGAGGAGAATCCAAAAAGCAGACACACACAGGCAAAAGGAATGCTGAAACTTGCTTCCTAGAAGCAAAATTGGCCTGTATCTATCTATAGTGCAATAATCAATTGTATCTCTACCAGACAATTTTTACTATTGTGGACAAGAATTATTTGTGCACTTTCAGTACTCCACAATTTCCTAAGTTATAAAATAACTCAAAGACAACAGCTTGGGTCATATGGAAATAGATAACCCTGAAGGCTGTGCTGGATCACATCTATTTTTATGATAAGGGACGTCACCATTACAGATGTCTATAACACCAATGCCCTGGTAGGGGCTGGTGGGGGCAGAGGACTTTGTTCATCTGGCTTTGATCCAGCAACAGCTTTAAGGCCCTGTCCCAGACGCGTGCCATCTCAACTGTACTCAGAGGTAAAAAGAAAGGTCAGTCACAGGCAAGCAATAAAAGCAATGACAGGAAGGAGTGACTGACAGGAGAGCAGTCATCATCATGCTATAGCCTTTAAAAGCATTCTACTTTTCTCATATTTCCCTGCTCACTGAGCAATCTTCAATTTTCTAAGTATTTCTGGCCACAAGGGAGAAATGACCCAAGGAAAGGACTTATATGGCATGTTTTGCTAGACACATCTTGCTCTGTAAACAAATAAATTAGACTATCTTAAATTCTTTTGAGTTTACTTAATATGTACTTGTTTCCGAAGACCGTTTTAATACTTAAGGAATTAAGCCAGTTCTTAACTCAAAGCTTGACTTCTCATAAGCCAATTCACCCTGCTCCCCTCAAGCAGGCAGGAAGTCTTCCCCAGTTATCACAATTTCTCTATCTGCTACAAAAATTCCCTGTAGCTTAGAGGTCAGCCAGATTTTTCTGTACAGAGCCATAAGTAAATTATTTGAGGTTTTGCAGGACAAGAAGTAAAATCAAAGATTTTATGTAGGTGGTTATATAACAAAAGAGAAAATAATTTTCCACTTATTTTTAATGATGAAATGCAGAACTGTATTAAGAATTAAGAGACGACAGGCTTGGCTCGCAGGCTGCGGTTTGCTAGGCCCTGATCATTGGAAATTAGAGACTAAAACTTGGATGAAATTATTAGGGATACAATTTGAGGGTCAGTACTTAGCTGATACTTGAAGCCTTGAAACATGGGCACCTACAGCACTGAATGAAAAGCAGAAGGCTATGCCAAAGCACGGGTTGGACAGGATAGGAATGAAGTGAATCTGTGCACAAACAGATAAAAATCCAGAGACCAGGAAGTAGTGTGATACCGGGAAAGAATAATAGATTAGGGGTCAGGAGACAATGGACTCATGTCTACATCTATCACAAATTCACTTTTCCCGGCATTTTCCTTCTAAGTGTAACGAAAATACAATGCTCCATATTAAATTGTGAGCACAGCAAGTAACCACAGATTTTGCCCCATGAAATACTAATATCTTGTCCCTATTGAGAATGCATGCCTCAGCAAACTGAGACAGGCAGGAATTTTCAAAATGTATGTAACTCAATGCTAAAAATAAATAGCAACAGAAGTATGAGAAGCATAAAAATGGTCAAGTTTTTAAAGAACAGGTTCCCGAGCCTATTGTATATAGTCTTTCCTAGTTCTTGGGCTCTGACCATCTTCCCCGTTTCCTAGTAGGCTTCCTAGTCATGTGCCTTCCAGTAGAATTTGGCTTGTCAGTTGGGTTGGTAATCATTGATGATGGTCCCCGAGTCCTGTGTGGCGATCTTTCCACTTCCTGGGGTACCCAGTATACTAGCTGCCTATCTGGGCCTTCCCCAAATACAGAGTCATTTTCTCACAAATAATGACAGTATCTGGCTTTTCTGTAGGAATTCAGAGTTTCTGTAAGGACCTGGTGGAGGTGGCAGACATTTTGGAGAAGACTACAGAATGCATTTCTGAAGAAGCAGAGCCTGGCGACCAGAAGCTCACCTTGGAGAAGATCTTCCGAGGGTTGTCCCTTTTAGAAGCAAAGCTGAAAAGTGTGTTTGCCAAGCATGGCCTGGAGAAGATGACACCCATTGGTGACAAATACGACCCTCATGAGCATGAACTCATCTGTCATGTGCCAGCTGATGTTGGGGTGCAACCTGGCACCGTTGCATTAGTAAGGCAAGATGGCTACAAGCTTCATGGCCGCACCATTAGACTCGCCCAGGTGGAAGTGGCAGTAGAGTCTCAGAGAAGACTGTGAATGGGCCATGCGGAACTGAATGTTCTTCCGGAGTGCAGCCACCTGTGTTTCTTTTATTTATTAAACTAGGTTTATATTGTACATGAGGTACTTCATGTGACCTGTTTTGGATTTAGTCATATTGGCTTTATTTCTAAGATACTCTGTTGATTTAATGGGACCTGTTTGGTCTCATCAAAAGTCTTGCCATTGGGCATTTGAACAATGTGACAAGTGTTCCTATGGCCTTTATCAAAATATGTTTAAGAAAATTATTTTTTAAATGAGTACTCTGATGACTTTCAATCCAAAATCTTTCTAAAAGGTGGAAATGAGTATATGTTTATATATTTTCAACTAATTATTCCTTTCAAATAGTCTCTATAACAGGAATTGTATAGGATCTTGTATTTTGTGGGAAAAGGGGTTGGTTCAACATTTGGGTGCTTAGACGATAAAGCTTTATAGCTGTATGAATTTAGATCATTGGGTTAATGTTTATACACACAGATTTTTCGGGACTTTGCCTTTTTATTTCGTTTTCCAGATAGCCATTTTTTGTCCTTGTAGTCCCTGCCCGGTAGATTTCATATTCACACTCATTGCCCCTTTCCCATTCCTGTTTATGAGAGCTGAAGGCCCAGGTAAAACTTGGAAGGCAGAGAATATCGAGAAATTTGAGAGACCTGGGTCCTAGAAACCACGTGCTTTCGTTGCTGAGTTACCTTCAACTTATTTTCAGCCTCCTTGGTATATAATCATTTCATGGACACTGAAGCAGCTAATGACCCAGATTGGTCTATATAGGTGATTTACCTACAACTTCTCTTTCTACCAGCCCTGAAATTCTCTGCCATTTTGTCAAATTTGTCTTATGATCCTTTGTTAGATTATGGGGGAATGTGGTCCAGACAAAAAAGGTCCATGTTTTCTCATTTCATTTAGTTAAGTTGAATTTTTTTTTTCCTTTAGTTGGAGCTCACAAATCACTACCTCTTACATTGACAAGCTTTGTTTCCTAGTTTTTATATCTGTCTTAATGTCACAGGTGTGTAAACATCTCACTCCCCTTTTATGTATTGACCTAGCGATAATGAGTCTATGTGTTCATTTTTTATTCTTTCAGTCTTGCTTCATATAGCTGGTGTTCTATAAAAGATTTGTTCAATAAATGAGTTAGTGAATGAATGATGCATCAGACTTTAGAAAGTAGGTCACTTATGGCTATTTTAATATTAGAAGAGGCCTTAATGATGGTCCCATCTCACCCGTTCTGCTGCTTCTGAAGTATGAAAACAGTCTTTTTAGAATTGAATTCAAAGAAACGAAATCTCTAAAACCTAGTGAACTAAATTTCAGTGAGAACTTGAATAAGGAACAACTAGATATTAACTTCAATCATTTGAGACTCAACAGTACTTTAATGAACATGCAAAGATGTCCCCAGCAGACAATTAAATGTTAGCTGTCCAGATTGCATAGGTTTAGGTTTAAGTTAGTTTCCCATAAAATAAGTCCATTTCTACTGGAACTCTGTGACTCCTTTCAGTGTGGAGTGCTAAAAGTTATTCTCTTAGACCTCACATATAATTCTAGGACACTACACAGATCAGTATCAATTAAGCCATCCCCCAGTGGGCCCTACCCCCTCCACCAGAATTAGACACTTAAAAAACATATATATGTATATATGTTTTTCAAATGCAAATAAAACACTGGTGGTAAGATTTTTAAACCAGAACCTCTTCTGTCATTCTAAATGCATACTGTAAGTTTAATGAGCAGATTTCACAATAGGAATTTGTCTTTTTTTTTTTTTTTTTTGCCTGGATTACTTTGAGATAGACAGATGGTGACAACAAGAAAATGAGCCAGTTCTAATTACCCGTGTGTTCTTGGATTACTAGCTGTCATTACCAGTGTGTTAGAATAACCATAGTTTTAGATATGGAATGTTCTGATTACTTGAAGTTTTCTAATATTGCTTGCAACCTGTTTTAGCAAATAGATTGAGAATAATTTTAGATTATTTTATTCAGTAGTTTTGCAGATTTAAAAGATTGAGCTATAACAGTGACAATCTCAAAAAGGTGTGAAGGGCTTTGGGGAGTTCGAGCAGCAAAGTAGAGCATAGACTTGAACACGAATCCCAGTTCTGTCACCCGTGTGACCTTGGGCCCCAGTCGTTCCACCCTTCTGAGCCTGCTTCCTTCTTTGTAAAATGGTTATAATTCTCTCACAATATTGTGAGGATTAAATGAAATGTATAAATTGCCTATTACACTAGGGCCTCAAATATTTTTGTTGCTTTTTATTATACACATTGTTTTTCCTATGTTTTTATAGCTGCCTAATGTCTAGGAAAAGGGGAAGACTGGTTAAGAGATGCTTAACTATTAAACCTTATAAGCTAATCAGAGTGACTTATTTTCCTTCCAGCTTCTGGTTGTTTGGGTTCTGCGTTTTTGTTGGTGTTGTTTTTATTTTTTTAAACCATAAGCAAGAAATATACATTTTTATACTGAAAGAGCAAAAACATTTGTGTCAATGCTCTGAATTATTTTCATCTTGATGGTAAAATGAAAAGACGTTGGCTTGCAGAGGATATGTAAGGAAGCTTTGGCCCACTTGAAGAGGGGATCTTGGTGTTTCTGTACTTGGGTTCTACAAATCTTACAGATTTTCCTCACTGCCATAAAGGAATCGGTAACTTATTTGGTGCTTTCGTGGCAAAGGATTTGATAAGTGAATAAGGGTTCTTAAACACTAAAGCAAAATCAAATGGGGAAAACTCAAAATGATATGTGATATTCAGAAATAATAAAACCCCACTTGAAATAACTGCAGTTCATTTGTTTCGTGTCTTTGTTTGCCTAATTCATACTGTATATTAACATGCTATAGTTACTGCATTGACTGCTGACTCACCTTGTTGCTCAGTGGTGATAGCTTGAGATTTCACAGCAGCCCAGCCAAATGGATGTAGTGTAGGCATTCCACATTCAGCTCCAGTGTTGAAGTCTTTATTTTGCTTTCTTCTGATTCCTATGTGTTTCTTAGATCTGGACTCCTCTGTTCTTGCCTTCCTTTCTGGAATTGCCTTATTTTCTTGTGCTTACTTCCTGATTCTAATTGTCTTATCTGCTTTAACCACTTCACTTGAACTGCTGGAATTCTGACCATCCTCTCAACCAGATTACTGACCCGTGGCCTTGTTCTGACATGTCCTTCCAATCTTTGCCTGGCCTCCTTATCTTTACCTCTGCTCAGCTGGCTTCTACATACCCAGCATCCTGGCTGAGTGGCCCTCTTTGGAGCCAGCTTTTCCTGCAGTTTAGCTTTGCATTTTCATTGCTTTTCCAATCTTGCCTATACACGTTGGCTCCATAATCCATTGTTCCCGTATTCCCAGTGGTAGTAAGTATATTCTTGTGCCTATGCGCTCAGACTTGGTCCACATTCTCAGTTTCACTGTGGAGGTTTTAAAACATGGCTCCAAATCTCCTTGAATCTGTACTTTGAGATTGACTAATAGAATATAGTGGAAATGACACTGCCAGTTTGTAGACACAAACCTTCCTGTCTCTAGATGCTTACTTTTGGAACCCAGCCACCAAACCAACAGCAAGCTGAAGCAGCTTATGGAGGGAAACAGGGCCCTGGCTACGCTTTCAGCTAACAGCCAGCATCATGCCAGCCATCTCAATGAGACATCTTGAAGGTGGAGCAGCTCCACCTGACACCACATGAAACAGATAGCTGATCTCACAACCCTGCCCAAAGTGCAGATTTTAGAGCAAATCAATGATGATTACTTTTAGCCACTAAGTTTTGGGGGTAGTTTGTTATGCAGCAATAGATAACTGATACAGTCACCCAACCTCACTGCCAATCTTACTAGTTAATTGTTTTGTACCTCAGCCACTAGAACTATGCCTCTGCCTTTCTTCTTACAGCTCTTTTGAATTCATCCTATAACTTTGATGTACTTAAACCCTGCCAATGTGTTAGCAGGATTGGAAGAGCTTCCTAACCAGAAAACAACTCTAGGTTCTAGAGTTACCAAAGAACTTAAAAGCAAAGTCAAGAAGCTGAATTTTAAAGGTGACATAATTTACCCTACAAAAAGTCTGCACAATTGGATTAAGTCAGCACATAAGACAACTTTGCACAAAGTTTCAATGTTTTGTTTTTTAAAAAAATGAAAGTATTTTGAGTCATTGAGAATTTTAAGTTTTTTAAAATATATTTGGTTCTAGAAATGATAGAAAATAAAAATTGGTACAGTTATGTCACAGACCCTTGGAAAGGTGTATTGATTCTCACACCAGAGAAAAGTTTTATGCAATGCCAAAAACGGAAATACCTAGGCTGTTGGTGACAAAGTTAATGCTGCTGATAGGAGGAACCCTTGTACAAGTTTCAAGTTTTCTTCTCTGCTGTCATTTATTTTGGGGCAAATATCAGTCCAGTGGAAAGAGTTCTGAACATAAAAAAGGCACCTAGAGTAAAAATAGAATTGAGAATAATTTGAGAACTTGAAAGATTTTGCATTCTGACATAAACATCACCAAAAGTTTTGTTTTGGAGGTTTGTTTTTTTTTGTTGTCGTTTTGTTTTTTAAGATTATGAGGAATGCATGTTCATCTACACCTTCACTACTAATCCAGTTTGACCCTGTTAAATTCAGAGTCACAAAGCTGATTCAGGACCCCTGCTATATGCTCTTACTATTCTCTGAATCCCTTCTGTTTCTTAGCCACAATCTGACTGAATAAATATGGATTTTACTTCATCCTGAAACTCATCCCCAACTTTATTTTCTGCTAGAGGAAATCTGTCTTTCATTGTGGTAAACTAGTCCCACTAACTAGTCTTGTTTTCTTTGGGAGTGAAAATGGGAGTTTATCCCTTCTTACCTTTCCTCCCCTTAAGAGTGGAAGAAACCCTTTCGGTTTTTAAAGCAGAGAAAGCAGAGATATAAAATGTATGTAGAAACTGCAAATAAACGAAAGTAACAGCTGTCTCGGAAGCATCTGGCCTAGTTTCAGTATATGCATGGAGTAACCCTGGCTGCATGCTTGGTCAGCAATTTCCAGCACTTGGCAGACACTGCCAAGCGTTTTCACATTCCGTATCTCATGTGATGGTCACAACCAACCACCTAAAAAGGTACAGCAGGGAAAGTGAATGAGGCACAGCGTAGGCACGTTACAGAGCTAGTAACTCTCAGCGGTTGGACTTGATCCGAGGTCATCAAAGCTTCATTTCTCTTCCATCCATCTCCTGGCTGCTGGGCCCTGGTCCTGATGCTGAGCACCCGAAGCGCGCACACCTGCGCCGGAGCAAGACAAGCCAGCCAATGAAGACCCCGTATCCAGGAGGCGGGACGGGGGAACTGCCAGTGACAGAGCCTGCCCAGAGAGAGATGCAGCTAATGAGGGCCTCGTGCTGGAGAGAGACGGCTACTCGTCCAATGAGAGGCAGTGAGCAGCGAGGCTGGAAGGCGGAACGGCCAGTGGAGCTCCGGGGCGGGGCGGCGAGCCCAGCGCCAACGCGCGAGCACCGGATCTCCGGCGTGCTACCCTGGTCGCCGCCCGCCATGGCCCGTGCAGCCCGGCTCCTGGCCGCGCTGGCCGCGCTCCTCGCTGCCGCCGCTACAGGCGGAGACGCCCGGCCCAGCAAAATCGGTGCGGGAAGCACGGGATGGGGTTCTGAATTGGGGAGGGCTGCGCGGGAAAAGTGTTCTCAGCCGGCAGCTGCTGAGTGGGGGATGGGGAAGGCAGCTGGGCGAGGGAGGGGTCCTCGGGAGAGGAACTGGATGGAGTAGAGGTGAAGGGCTGCGAACGGGCCAGGAAGGGACCGCAGTAGGCAGGGTGCTGATGCGGGGGCTGGTAGGGGCATGGTTCGAGGACTGCCTGGGGCGGAAAAGGGGCTTGGGACAGAATTGGCCGCTGATCTCATCAAAAGATCCAGAAGCATTGAGCATCTGCCATGGACTTGGCTCTTTGCCCGGTGCCCCGATGATGGAGAGAACAGGGTCTGGGCGATTGTCATTCACAAGTGTAGGCAGCAGGCATGGTTCTCTGTACTTCCTTTATGGAGAAGACTGCACAGTACAGGGAAGTTAGTGCTAAGACTGTAAGTACCCTGATATAGAGGAAGGGCACTTCACCTCAACCTTTGATGGTTCTGGGCGGGCCTTGGAGGGCTTCTTGGAAGTACCGTCTAAGCCAGAACCTCAGGGAGAGCAGGAGACAGCCCTAGTGGAGACAGAACCCATGGTAGGTCTGCTGGAGATAGGTTTGCTGAGTGACAAGAGTGGGGAACTTTCAACAGCAGTCATTTTATGTATTTGTTGTTGTTCATTCCAGTATTTTGTTTTGAAAAATTTAGAACTTACACCAAAGTTGAAAGAATTATGCAGTGATCACCTGTATGTCTTCGACCTGGATTTTGCCGTTAACAAACTGCTACTGTGCTTGCCTTATCACATACCTGTCCCACATCCATTAATCCATCTTACGTTTTAAGGGATTTCAAAGTAAATTGCAAACATCAGGACACTTTGCTAAATACTCCATCGTGCATTTCATTGACTAGCGTTCCATAGTTGTTCAGTTTTTTTTCTTTTATCAATTGTCATTTTAACTCAGCATAACTCAAAGATTTTTCACATTCCCCCACATATAAAATTTCCATACGCAGAGATATTGGGCTTCTGGTGTAAGGAAGTAGGAATTTCTACTCCACTCGTCTGCCCTCTGTGCACCCCATATTGCAGGGAGGAATGCCCACGGCAGCACCACAGACTCATTAGGGTCAGCACAGTGCTAAGCCTTCTTGGGTTACAAAACTACAGCTCAGGCCACAAAGGGTTAAGACAGACTGAAGCGTGCCAAAAATCAGTTTGGGACTGAGAGTTTAGGGTTTTCAGAGGAAAGAGAATCTTGAGGGCCAGGGCGGCCAGAGAAGACCTCATGGAGAAAGTGGACTTTGAGCCAGGCTTTGAAGGATGGGGAAGAATTAGGCAAGACTGTGTCTGGAGTTGCCAGGTACTCCCCAGTTTCTTGGGAATGGGCAACAGAGCAGGACACTTCCCGCTGACCGCTGGAAGACTCAGAGCCTCCTCCCAGCCCTATTTCTAACAATGCAGAGCTTGCTGCCTTCTTCATTCCAGCTAGTCCTGCCTACCTCCCTCCACGGGTCATCTAGAGCAGGACACTTTGCAATGCCAAGCTACGCTGTAGCTTCCTGATTGTCCTCAGCCCTCTGACAAGAGCCTCTGTCTGCCCTTGGTGGTTTGGACTCTACCCACAGTGAGCATGAGGAGCTTCCTTTTAGGATGGTTTAACCCTCAGACTGCTGCGGGATCAAATCTGAACACCTCAGTGTGGCATTGGACCCTTTAAATCCCCGAGTTCCACACACTGCCCTGCACATGCTCTTCTCTCTGTGGAGAATGTGTTACTGCTCACGGGCAAAGCCGATTGCCCTCCAGGGTCCTGATCAAATGTTCCCTCTCTTGTGAAACCTGTGTTACCCCACCCTTGGGCAGAGCTCATTGCTTCCTCCTCAAGATTCCCTGGAACTGTTGTCCTATTTAGTCACACATTGTCATAGCTGATTGTGCATGAGTCTGTCTGCCACACCCTGCCTGGGCTCAGGAGGCCTTGGTTGATTCATTGTGTGCCCCAGCACATCTTACCGTAGACCTGAGAGTCAGTTCATGGGTGTTGAGTGAGCTAGTTCTCAGTGAGGTGAGGTCTTCTGCTTCCCTGTAGCCCTTGGGCAGCTTCCAGGCCTTGTGATATCAATTTCTCTGGAAAAATGGGTAATTGGGGGC